TGTATATTGTGAGTTGCTTTTATTTTGCTGCTTTCAAAATTCATTGTCTTTGACTTTTGACATTTGATTATAATATGTCTTGGTGTGGATTTCTTTAGGTTCATCTTATTTAGAATCCTTCAAGCTTCCTGGATCTGGTTGCCCATTTTCCTCACTAGATTTGGGAGTTTTCAGCCATTATTTCTTTCTATTAACTTTCTAGTTCTTTCTCTTTTTCTTCTCCGGAAACCCCATCATGCATATATTAATCCACTTGTTGGTGTCCCACAGTTCTCTTAATCTTTCATCACTTCTTTCTATTCTTTTCTCTTTTTGCTCCTTTGCCTGAATAATTTTTAAAGGCCTGAGTTTGCCTCTCTTTGTGGAAATTTTCACTTTATTCTCATCACTTCATTGTTCTCATCACTTCAATGAGCATCTTTATGACAGTTATTTTGAAATGTCTGTTAGGAAAATTGTACCTCTGCTTCATTCAGGTCAATTTCTGAAGATTTATCTTCTTCCTTTATTTTGAACATATTTCCCCATTTCTTCATTTTCCTTTACTCTGTGTTGGCATCTACACATTGGACAAAACAGTCACCTTTCTCAGTTTTCATGGACTGGGCTTTTGTAGGAGAAACCCTCATCAGTAGGCCTGATCAGGGATTCTGGAGGCCCCTTAAACCTTCATGGTAGTCCAAACTTGTTTTCTGTTCTTAGGGGCCCCAAGTGTCTAGAGCACACTAGGTCCCATTGGTGTTCGAAGATGAGTGAAACTTATCTTGGAAGGAAGCCAGCTCCTTGGGCAGTCACCAGAGAATTTGGATCATGTCTTGTCCAAATCTTTCACTCCCCAGAGATAAGTTGGGATCTGGATTTTGTTTTGTTTTGTGGGACTTTTTTTTTTTCCTTCTTTCTCTTGCTTTTTTTTCTCTGTGCTGCACCAGGGAGAGGGGCTATGGTGACTAATATGCTACATCAAACCACTGTGTTTTTTGTCACTGGCCCCCAGGTGACTAGAGTATGCTAGGTTCCATTGGTGCTCCAATACAGACAAGACCGAAAAAGCCAGTCCTTTGGGCAGTCCCTAGAAAAGTTGGGGCATTGGACACTTAGTGCAACTCTTCCTCCCCTGGGAGAAGCTGGGAGTTGGGGTTATTGTCTGATTTCTCTGTGCTGAGCCAAGAGCAGAAGCTGTGATGAGTGCCCGCATGCTAGTTCAAATCTCCTCTTTGTTCTTTGTAGCACACAGGAGACTAATACATGTTGGATCTCAGCTCTTCTAACTCAGGTGAGATAGAAGCCAGTTTTTCAGACAGCACCTGGAAAAATTGGAGTGTTAGATGTGTGGTCCAATTTTTTCCCTCCTTGGGGAGAAACCAAAAGTTGAGAGTTCTCTCCTGATCATATAGCATGGTTCTGGGAATGGGTATTATGTCAAAGAAATGGTTCTGCTTTTCCTACTGGTTTCAATGTAACTGGGGTTATACTTGTGTGTTAAGCAGGAGCCTGTCAAGTAGTCTCTGGGTTTCTCACAAAGGAAATTGATTTATGTGTGGCTATTGAATGATAGTGTCTGCTGTGGGAAGAGTCGTCTAAGATTTCCTATTCTGTTATCTTGCTAACATCACTCCTCTTTGCTCTCTTTTGACCCTTCTTCTTTATGTGCCAAGGGCTTGAATGCATACTTGCAACTCTGGGAAGAATGAAGCCCCTGCAGAGCTTATTCTTCCTTTTTTTTTTTTTTTTTTTTTTTTTGAGTGCTAGAAATGATACAGGCCAACATTATGGCTAATCTTTCTAAGAGGTTATTCTACTAAATTACATATAAAATGAAAGTACCTATTTTCAGCCTGTGAATCTGTGAATACTAGTGAACAGTTTGCTATCTTTTCCATTTCTACAAATACCTTAATACTATTTCATTATGCCAATCCTATAAGAATTTCACAAGGACTACATTGTTGTGTTTTTTTTGAGTCGGAGTCTCACTTTTTTTTTTTTTTTTTTTTTTTGAGATGCAGTCTCGCTGTCGCCCAGGCTGGAGTGCAGTGGGGCAATCTCAGCTTACTGTAACCTCTGCTTCTCGGGTTCAAGCAATTCTCTTGCTTTGGCCTCCCACGTATCTGGAATTGAGGCGTGCCCCACTGAACTGGGCTAATTTTTATATTTTTATTAGAGCCAGGGTTTCACCATGTTGGCCAGGCTGGTCTTGAACTCCTGACCTCAGGTGATCTGTCTGCCTCAGCCTCCCAAAATCCTGGGATTACAGACATGAGCACCACGCCCGGCCTACCTTGCATTCTTTGGTTGCTTTACCTACTCACCCATTTAGACCTTTGCTGCTTCTCATAGTTTCTAGTTACTATAAACCTAGTTGCATAGGCTTATCTCATTTATATTTTCAGATATTTTGTTTAGTACTTTCTTTTTTTTAATTGTTTTTTTAGAAGTAAAATACATACGTAAACATTTTAAGGCAATATGGCAATATTCGAGGGTATAAGTAAAAATAAATGAACAAAACCTTTTTCCTGGTCTTCCTGCTTTTCCTTTGCAAAAGCAACCGCTCGTTGGTTTACTGCGTGTCTTTCCAGAAGTGGTCTGTTCAAGCATAACTTAAACGATTCATATTTGGAAGAAACCATGGTAGAAGACATACAGTAGCTGTGGTTCAAGGGCAGGTGATACAAAACGGTAGCTTGAGTCTATAGAGAGTCAGCAGATGTGTCTTATTTATGACATCATATAACTAGGGTGGTGCCATGCTTTCACAATACCGGTAGCTTAGTTTACATTTTATTTTATCCTCTAGCTTTAACCATTTAAGAATTTGAGTTTGCCACCCACGTTTGAAGGATATTGAAACAGAAACTGACTTTATGTATCTGCTCATTGTATGACTTTTTTCCCACTTAAATTATTTTAATTGTGTAAGTGGACTAGATCGCATTTTATTTTCTTGTTATATGACTTCTCAACAATATTAAATGTCTTTCCCTAATTGAGATCAAGATTTACTTATTGGTGATACTGATTAAATAAGAAAAATAAAGGTTATTTTAATCTTATGTTTCATAAATTAAGTCCTGGAGCAGTTCTCAAACTTAAATACATTAGGATGACCTGGGGTGCTTGTTAAAAATGTAAATTTTTGGCCAGGCACAGGGGCTGATGCCTATAATCCCAGCACTTTGGGAGGGTGAGGCAGGTGGATCACCTGAGGCCAGGAGATTGAGACCAGCCTGGCCAACAAAACAAAACTCCATCTCTACTAAATAATACAAAAATTACCTGGGCATGGTGGTGGGCACCTGCAGTCCCAGCTACTTGGGAGGCTGAGGCAGCAGTTGAACCCAGGAGGCAGAAGTTGCAATGAACCGAGATCGTGCCACTGCACTCTGGCCTGGGTGACAGAGAGAGACTCCATCTCAAAAAAGAAAGAAAGAAAGAAAAAAAAGTAGATTTTTTTGATCTCCCTTTCCTTCATCTCCTACCTTCCAATACCCATCAGAGAATCCTGTATAGTGGACTTGATATGGGGCCCTAGAAGATTCTGAAGGAGGAAATTCCTGAATGAGAGGCTGGGAAGGAGACCAACCTCATGCCTATTTGAGAACACACTCATTGTGTTCAGCAGCAAAGCTTGTGACTTTTTGGACCACAAGCAATTTCATGTTTTGTTTGGACCTAAAGAGAATCTACAATGGTGAAGCTTTATTTTAGAAGCAGAGGCAACACAATTTTGCTGTGGAAAATTTCTTGTACTTCACTGGTGCAGAGGAAATAGCAATGTGCCCCAGTGGTTCTGACCTCTTTAAACAGGGTTATTGCACAGATTGAAAACAACAGAACAATGAAGCTAAATTACTATCGTACTTTGTGAAACACAGATCACAGGAAACTTCCCTGGTCTAATGGAAACTGTACTAAAAGTAAGAAGCAGTCAAGTTAGCTTAATTTGTAAACAGTACTACATGACATAGGCTTATGCAGTTATACAAGTGAAATCCTTTTTCATTTGTCTAGGCAGTAGTGTTGACTTTTGTTATATTAGATACTTTACATGTAAGAACTATCAGCTGGATGCCAATGCTATATAAAGCAAACAAACTGGCAGTGTATAATATAGAGTACATTTAGCTCAGGGGTCCACAAGCTGTGGCCCATAGGCCAAATCTGGTTCACTCTGCTCGTTTGTGTATGGCCTGCCATATATACTGAGAATTGTTTTACTTATTTTAAAAATTATTTATTCATTTATTTATTTATTTGAAACAGGGTTTCACTCTGTCACCCAGGCTGAAGTGCAGTGGTGCGATAACAGCTCACTGCAGACTCCATCTCCTGGGCTCAAACAATCCTCCCACCTCAGCCTCCTGAGTAGCTAGGACTACACAGGCGCATGCCACCATACCCAGCTAATTTTTAATTTCTTATGCAGAAATGGGGTTTCACTGTGTTGCTCAGGTTGGCTTCAAACTCTTGAGCTCAAGTGATCTGCCCGTCTCAACTTCCCAAAGTGCTGGGATTACAGGTGTGAGCCACTGGGCCTAGTCTGTTCTACATTTTTAAATGGTTGGAAGAAAGTAAGAATATTTTGTGACATGTAAAAATTTCCTGAAATTCAAATTTCAAAGTCCATAAAGAAAGTTTTATTGGAACATGGCCATGTTCATTTGTTTATTTATTGTCTACGGATGCTTTGGGGCCTCAATGGCAGAGTGGAGAGGTGTTGCAACAAAGATCATATGGCCTTGCAAAGCCTAACATGTGTATCACTGGCTCTTCCAGAAAAAAAATATATACACCTTGATTTAGCTCACTCCTCTCCTAAAAGACTGACATTCCCTGGAATGGAGGAAGCTTAGAGACCAGAATTTCAACCTCTTTCCATCTTCAATCAACTTTTTAGCTTTTTTTCTATTTTTCTGGGAGACTTTCATGTTCAGATTTTTAGTTATCCAAAAAACTGAAGAAGAAACAACTTCCTAATTTCTCACCATATTCTGTTGCAGAAACATGTGGAATTCATTCAAAATACATGAGAGCTATGTATCCTACCAAAACCTTCCCAAATCATTACACCATTGTCACGGTGAGTGCTTGACCCCGTGGTAAGACAGGCCAAAGACCAGAACTGACCACATAAGACAGACATGTTTGGGCAGGAACTGGCTGAGTTCTGAGACTTACCTTTCTCGAGCACATGTGGGAATAGTTCATGGCTGAATTCAGGCTGGAAGGAATGGCTCAATATGAGGCCAATCCAGGGCTGTGAGGCATGAACTATGAATAAGTGTCCAGCATTAGGTTAATTCACCTGTGCTGAGCCCAAAACAGACCCTTTGATGTGAGAAATACCATTTTCCTCTGGTCTTTCGATTGCCCTTTGTTTATCTGAAGGTCTGCTGAGAACAGTAGGCTATATATAGGGCCAACTACTTTGATGTGGGAAATTTTGTTCTTTCCTAGTCTTTTCATTACAATTAACTTGATAGAACTTCTTTTTCGTGAAGGAATTCACACTGTCTACATCTCTTTAGATAAAGCAATAAAAGCAAGTGAATTATCCTTGGTGTATAAAAAGATGTAGGTAGAATGATTAAAATGAACTCAAAATTAAATTATTTAAGACAGGTGGATTTAGAACACATTTAAGGCATCCGCTGCCTCAAAGGATATTTGTGTCTTTGTTACTTTGGGTTTTAATCTTTTATTACCATGGAACAGTAACTGTGACATTTAAATTTTAACCCCCACACAAATGTGTGTATGTATTCTCATTACTTGCAGACTCTGTATTTGTGGGTTTGCCTACTTGCTAAAATTTATTTGTAACCCCCAAATCAATAAGTACAGTGCATTTATCGTCATTTGCAGCCATCACAAAGAAGCACAAAAAGTTGAGTTGCCCAATGCTCATGTTCCTAGCTAAGGTCTAACCAGGAGACATTCTGCTGTCTTGTTTTAGCTGTCATACTATAAACAAGTATCATTTTCACAATCTTACTGTTTATTGAATGTCATACTTTTTATATGCTCATGTTTTGGGGGGAGTTATTTCACTGGTTAAAATGGTCCCCTTGCATAGTGCTGACGTGGTTTCTGGTGTTCCTAAGAGCAAGAAGGCTGTGAATTGCTTTACAGAGGAAATATGTGTGTTAGGTAAACTTTGCTCAGGCCTGAGTTATACCATGAGTGAACCAACAATATACAAAAATAAGGTGACTTCAAACAAAAACACTCATAAAACAAGGTTATGTATTGATCAGAAGACAAAACTGTTGTAACCAGAGGCTCTCAGGAACCTAATTCTGTGTTTTTCCTAGGAGCAATGGTTCAGTAATCATTAGTTTAGTGTTCATGACAACTTTATAGAACTACTATAAAAATAATAATTGACTGTATATACATATATACATAAATATATACCATATGTACATATACGTATACATAAAATAAGGGATTATGCATAAATGCAATTAATTTACTATTTATATATTTTTATACATATATATGCATACATATTCATATACCTAGCAATGTTCTAAAATAAAGACCCTAAAATCTATAGTCATTTAATAAAAATGTGTGGAATGATTAAATAAATATGTGAGATTTGATTAAATAAATGATTGGTTGGATAGGTGGGTGGATGGCAGGGAAGATGGGTAGAGACTTGGCAGGCTGCCTTTAAAATGCTGGTAACACCCTTTAATTCACTTTATCCAGGATATTTGATGTATAGAAAGCTTCTATCTAGTAAATTATTTGCTATTATTGATAATATAACCAGTGGCTAACCATTATTCTAATATGGGAAAGTTTAAAAGTTAATTAAACAGTTACTAAGCACACAAAAGTTATGTTAACACCATCAGGACAAGCCATCAGCCTAATGTCTCTTATTTGCTACTATGAACATGGTAGAACTAGAAAAAATATATATATGCACACTTGGCCCTCCATATGTGTGGGTTCTGAATCCTTGGATTCTACTAACTGTGAATTAAAAATATTTGGGTGGAATCAACCTAAATGTCCATCAATGACAGACTAGATAAAGAAAGTGGTACATATACACCATGGAATATTATGCAGCCATAAAAAAGCAAGCTCATATTTTTTGTGGGAACATAAATGGAGCTGGAGACTATCATCCTTAGCAAACTGAATACCACATGTTCTCACTTATAAATGGGAGCTAAATAATAAGAACTTATTAACACAAAGAGGAAACAACAGACACTGGGGTCTGCTTGAGTGGGGAGGATGGGAGGAGGGAGAGGAGCAGAAAAGATAACTATTGAGTACTGGCTTAATACCTGGGTGATGAAATGATATGTACAACAAACCCCCATGACACCTGTTTATCTAAGTAACAAACCTTCAGATGTACCCCCAAACCTAAAATAAAAGTGGAAGAAAGAAAGAGAGAAAGAAAAGAAAGAGAAAGGAAGGAAGGAAGGAAGGAAGGAAGGAAGGAAGGAAGGAAGGAAGGAAGGAAGGGAGGGAGGGAGGAAAGAAGGAAGAGAAAGAAGGAGGAGGAAAAGAAGGAAGGAAGGAAGGAAGGAAGGAAATATTTGGAAAAAAATTGCATCTGTACTGAACATGTATAGACTTTTTTTGTCACTATTCCCTAAATAATACAACAATGATTGACATAGCATGTATATTGTATTAGCTATTATAAGTAATCTAGAGATGATTAAAATATATAGGAGGGTATGCATAGGTTATATGCAAATCCCAAGACATTTTCTAGCAGGGACTTAAACATCTTCTGATTTTGGTACCTGAGGGAGGTCATGGAACCATGCCCTATGAAAGCCAAGGGATGACAATATCTTCTAATATTTAAGTTCAGGTCCAGGTGTTTTACACTGAAAGATATATAGTACCTTTCCTAGATATGAGTAATAGATCGTGTGCTATTTTAATTTAAATTTCTATTTTACTAATATTTTATCTTACATCTTTTTTTAAATTATCATTTTAGGGCTTGTATCCGGAATCACATGGCATCATTGACAATAATATGTATGATGTAAATCTCAACAAGAAGTTTTCACTTTCTTCAGAGGAACAAAATAATCCAGCCTGGTGGCATGGGCAACCAGTATGTAGCATTCTACACGTGCCAACTGAAGTAACCTCCATTTCTCAGTGTGGCAGGAGGTCACTCTTCTTGCTCAGTGGAGCAAGTTCTATGTCACCCATATAGTTTCTAAAGGCTGAGGGTGGGAAGGTGTTTTACCACTATTTGTAACTTGAATTTTTAAAACATTTATGGCTGTTAACTCAAATAGCTATGTTTAAACTTGGGTGTTGGGTTATAAATGTATCTATCTGGAAGTTACTCAGAAAGATTATCTGTTAATGTTTTTCCTCATTTTGTTTTGTAATTTTTTTTTTTTTTTTGAGACAGAGTCTTACTCTGTCATCAGGCTGGCATGCAGTGGTGCGATCTCAGCTTACTGTAACCTCCACTTCTTGGATTCAAGCAATTCTCCTGCCTCAGCCTCCTGAGTAGCTGGAACTACAGGGACGCACCACCACGCCCAGCTAATTTTTTTGTATTTTTAGTAGAGATGGGGTTTCACCATGTTGGCCAGGATGATCTCGAACTCCTGACCTTGTGATCCACCTGCCTCAGCCTCCCAAAGTGCTGGGATTACAGGTTGTAATTCTTTTAAAGGGAGAGAGGAACCATCCAATTTTACCAGTTTGAAAAGAAATGATCTTGCTTCTTAGTAGCTTGCTATGTTTTTGGTTTTTGAGGCAGATTCTTAGATAATTATATCTTTTAATTGCTACAAAGATTAAAATTTCAATTTTAATACATGTTGCAACTGTTAATCTTGTTTAGTTTCTGGTAAGGTACACCATTTCTACCCAAAGTAATTATTGACTTTCCTTATCCTAAATTTTCTCTTCTTACAGATGTGGCTGACAGCAATGTATCAAGGTTTAAAAGCCGCCACCTACTTTTGGCCTGGATCAGAAGTGGCTATAAATGGCTCCTTTCCTTCCATATACATGCCTTACAACCGGTAGTGAAAGTGAAGCACTTTCAGATATTCTCCCAGTTAGGCAGAAATGATCAGGATGTTTTTGTCTTCATCTTGGCGGCAATTCCATTAATCCAGTTGTTTAAGCCAAAAATCTTGGAAGTCACCATTGACTCCTTTCCTTTATATCACTCAAGCAGTCTCTCAGTAAATGCTTTTGGCTCTAATTAAAAATCTGTGTAGCCTGAGAACTTTTTATTACCTCTAGCATTACCACTCTGGTTCGAGCTGTCATCTCTTGCCTGTATTAACTGCAGTTGCCTCTTTACTCATCTCTCTGCTTCTAGTCTCATCCCGCCCACCAGAGGGATTCCTTTAAAATGCAAGTCCAGCCGGGTGCGGTGGCTCACGCCTGTAATCGCAACAGTTTGGGAGGCGGAGGTGGGCTGATCTCTTGAGGTCAGGAGTTCAAGACCAGCCTGGCCAACATGGTGAAACCCCATCTCTACCAGAAGAAAAAATACAAAAATTAGCCAGGCATTGTGGCACATTGCCTGTAATCCTGGGTACTCTGGAGGCTGAGGCAGGAGAATAGCTTGAACCCAGGAGGCAGAGGTTGCAGTGAGCTGAGATCAGGGACTCCTGCAGTCTGAGCGATAGAACGAGACTCCATCTCAAATAAATAAAATAAAATAAAATGCAAGTCCAATTATGGCATTATTTGGCACCAAAACTTCAGTGGCTCCCTGTGTCACTCAGAGTAAAAGCTTACAAGGCCCTATGTGGTATGACCTCTGGTGTCCCCTTAGCTCTCCGACCTCCTCTTCTGCTACTCCCTCAGGTGCTCACTCTGAACTCCTTGGTGGACTTCAACATACTAGGCTTGCTTCTGCTGCAGGACATTGCACTGGCTGTTCACCCTCCCTGAGATGATTTGCTTCATGGATCTGAATGCCTACTCTTTCACTGCCTTCTGGCGCTGTTGAAAAATTACCTTCTCAGTATTGTCTTACCCCAGTTATACTTAAGATTTAAAATTCCAAACCACCTTCATCTCAGTTACTCTGCTGTAGTGTTTTGTTTTGTTTTGCTTTGTTTTGTTTTGTTTTTTTGTCCACAGCATTTATCACCTTTTAATACACTATACCTTATTTTTATATTAGGTCGATTGTTTGTTACTTGTCTTCCTGCACTAGAATGTAATCTTTGGTTTGCTCACTGATAAATTCTGTTTTGAATGAACAAATAGTATCCGGCAATAGATGTTCAATATACACATATGCATAAATTTTTAAAAATGGAATTAATGGATCATAATCAATTGTCTTTTATTTCATTTGGGGGAAACTGAAGGAGAGAAGGGTGAGGTGAAATAAAACAATCTGCATTTCATTTATAGTGCTGCAAGTGTATCTATAAACAGAAATCCCTTTGAATAATAGTGAATACCTTTCAGTATTGTGATTATATAGGAACACAAAATGGATAGCTGAAGATATTAACCTTTCTGAATAGGAATGTAATGGAGTTATTCTTGATTTGATTCATTTTAAAGAATTATTTCTACTCTATTTTTTCAGAAGTGTCCCATATGAAGAGAGGATTTCTACATTGTTAAAATGGCTGGACCTGCCCAAAGCTGAAAGGTAATGTCGAGTATCAGAAAAGTGCTGGCATAGTGGCATATATATGGGTAAAAAATGAAGTTATTTCTTCACTTTAAATTACAATTTTTGGCTATTTTTGAAACAATGTGGCATTGCCTTTTAATGGGCACTTTTCATGAATTATTCCTGGCTGGGCAGGGGGGGTCTCACTCATGTAATCCCAGCATTTTGGGAGGTTGAGGCAGGAGGATCACTGGAGCCCAGGAGTCCCCGACCAGCCTGGACAACACAGTGAAACCCTGTCTTGAAAAAAAAGTAAAGAAACTAGCTGGTCATGGTGGTACGCAGTTGTAGTCCCAACTACTTGGGCAGCTGTGGCGGGATGATCACTTGAGCTCAGAAGTTTGAGGCTGCAGTGAGCTATGATCATGTCACTGCCCTTCAGCCTGGGTGACACAGTGAGACTCTGTCTCAAAAATAAAATAAAGGAAATTATTCCTGAGAGCTGGTAACTTTTTGTTTTCGAAAATGTGGTTGACATTATTGAACAACAGAGATAGCGCTAACACCAGAGAGCAGAGGCAAATATCACAGAACCAAAGCCAGATGTGGAATGGAGCAGAGCTGGGAGCAGGCCTGACACTCAGTGATAAGGACTGACTCCAAGAGCCAGAGGTGCTCCATCAAGCCCATGCCCACAGATTGGAGTGAGCATGGAGGCTCATTGAAGGCTAACCAGGAGCTCCAGGTAAACAGTGCATCAGAAACCAGACACCGGAAGAAAGAACTTAGTATAACAGAACCAAGAATCAGCAAAAAGTCAGAAACCGGGAAACAGAAAGGACTGGGGCACACCAAAACTGGTCTTAACTGCAAGAACAAAACAGAATTTCACAACAGGGGCGTACCAGTGCTTATATCTGGGAAAGTCTTATTTAATTCCTGTCAGGAAACCTATCCTTGCTGGAGCCAAGTAGAACTACCGGGTCTGAACAAAGAGGAGGAGGTTAGAGAGAAAGAAATGGCAATGGCCGGCAAGCCTGAGATCTACAAAATCCCCCAATCCAGCCTGTAAGTTTATCGCAAATTGATAACATATTTCTGTTTCAATTTTACCCTTAGACCCAGTTTTTATACCATGTATTTTGAAGAACCTGATTCCTCTGGACATGCAGGTGGACCAGTCAGTGCCAGAGTAAGTTTGTTTTGTTTTGTTTTAAAAAAACAAAACAATGTAAAATCATCTAACCCTAACCCGCAAAACAAAATAGTATTCTTTAACTTCTACTGAGCACAAATGTATTTGATACATACACAAGAAGATCAAAATAGTTAAAGGTATAAAAGGGATGCCATGGTTCAACTGCCTTCTTAACCATAAAATAGTTCAAATTCTAGAAAGGACAACTGCGTTATTAACTATATCTTGAATCATTTGAAAAACTATCATTGAATACTTAGATGTGGCACTGTTGTTGCATATAATGAAAGCATTAAGGCTAGATATTACATAAACCAATTCATACTAGTGTGGTATATTTCAGGCTAAGTCACCTGCAAGTCCATTGTGGTATATCCAGCTGTCTAGTCTCCCACAGTTCATTTATAAGTTCCTTATAATTGGATTTAACATGTTATTACCTCAGGCAGAGTTATTTCCCTTCTAGGCTCCCATTATCATTGAAGTGGACTCTCTAATGTAAGTTTATTCATTATCTAGGCCATTCTGTTATGATTTTACTACACAAACATAGTCCTTAAATATTGCTTTTAGCAAAACAAGACATTCTGTCTTCTAAACTCCACTAAAGCCTCTATTGTCTTGGACACAATGGAAAGTTGCAAAGGCTGCCACGAGTATGGCTTTCCCCACCCCATGGAAACTCGTTGAACAATTGCCCTCAATTGGAATGCAAGCATATTCGTTCTGGCACCATGCCTTTGCAATTTCTCAGAAAAACTTTTTTTCCTTCCTTCCTATTAGGCCAAAATGATTCATAATATAGGGACTTGCTCAAGCCTCACCACTTTTAAGCCTTGGGCCTCTGTTATATTCCTGCACAGCTCTAGACTGTATCACAGAATTGTATGCCTTTTCAGGTTACTCTAAGCATGAACTATCTAAAATATATTTACCATGCCTTCTTTTTATGTTATTTTATTTTTTCTTTATTTATTTTTTGAGATGGAGTCTTGCTCTGTCACCCAGGCTGGAGTGCAGTGGTGCAGTCTCGGCTCTCTGCAACCTCCATGTCCTGAGTTCAAGCAATTCTCCTGTCTCAGCCTCCTGAGTAGCTGGGACTACAGGCACGTGCCACCGTGCTAGGCTAATTTTTGTATTTTTAGTAGAGACGGGGTTTCACCATGTTGGCCAGGATGGTCTTGAACTCCTGACCTCAGGTAATCCACCTGCCTCGGTCTCCCAAAGTGCTAGGATTACAGGCATGAACCTGTAATCGCCCAGCCATTCTTTTCTATTTTAACTGTTAGCCGTGTTTGATATGATTTGTCATTTGAGAAGGGACACTGTATTTGCATTCGTTGCACCTCAGGAGCTGACTTGAGATTAGGCACCATGTCCTTTTTTCCCCCCCATTCAGTGGTCTAGTTTAAAACCCAAGTACATTCTAAGTATAATTTTGAAAAGTGCTGCAAAGGAAAAGATCAAGGTTCCCCCAAGAGATCTATCTAGGCAGTCTCAAGCTAGTCTAGAGTAGGGTGCAAATTTAGCCTGGTTAGGAGACTCTCCTCTGAGTGACAAAAAGGAAACAGAATTTGCAAGTGGGCTTATTGAGGAAGGAGCTGTGCACATTGGAGGAACACATAAAATGAGCAAATGGTTTGACAAACAAATGGCTAGATGGCTCAGCAAGTAGACAGCGTGATCATGGTAAGAATAATAGTAGCAACTCACCCTTATTTGTGCTCTGCTGTGCCAGAGCTGTTGGACAAGCTATGAGAATTATCTCCCACCAATGTCTGCAGCATTGTGAAGCAGGGAAGAGGGCTAAGAGGAAGCCCAGAGAAGGAGTCAGGCATCAAATTCTGCAGGGCCTTGCAAGTCCTTGCAGGCTAGAAAAAGTAAAACGAGAAGCATTGTAATAAGGGAGGTGACAGGACCAGATCTGTGTGTATTTAGAGATCACTTTTATTTTGTAAGAGGAAAAGACAGGTGGGAAGAGACAGGTTAGCTTTCCCAACATTCCAGAAAAGAGATAACAGTGACTTGGACTAAGGTAGAGGCAACAATTGTGGATGGAAGAAGATATAACAGATTCATTTAGGAGATAGACTTGGCATGACTTAGTGTGAGTTGGGTGAGGGGGTTGGGGGATCAAGATTGATTTCCTAGTTTCTATCATGTGCCGGCAGGTGGTCCCATTTATATTAATAAGACCACTAAAGGAGGGTAAGTTTGGGGAGATGCTCGTTTTGCAATTGAGGTGTCTGTGTTGTCCAAATGGAGATGTCCAGAAGGCAAATGAATGTGGATTTAAAGCTCAAAGGAGGTGAAGATCTGGGATATCGGCAGCATATAGATGGTGCGTGGAAGTGGAGATGGCCTAAGGAGAAAGCAAAGTGAGAAAATAGAAGGGTTAGGACCAAATGTTACTTAAAACTTGAGGAGAAGAGGCAAATGAATGGAAGTAGAAGGTTTTGTGACTTCTTAATTATTATTGTTAGTTTTAATCGCATACCTTTAATCAGAGTTAATATGACTTATAAATTGACAGTAAAAAGGCTATTTTAGTTTGTTTTGGCACATTCACTAAGTGAAAAACTTATCACTCAAACTTAACAAAGCTACTCAATTGTTTCCTATTATAGGAATTTCTTGTTTCTTTTCTTTGGCTGGGTGAGAGTAGAGGACTGGCATTTCATGTTCTATCAAGTGTGTACTTCATGACAGAATCTGGGTTCAAGAAATATGTAATGAGTTGTGTTGCATGATCCCTTCCCTGCGAGAACTCACGCTCTCCTTGAAAGGCAGACAGGAACACAGATGATTTCAAAACTGTAAAGAGTCCAGTGGCAGCCAGATGCCAGGGTGCTGGCAGAGGACAGAAGAGGAGGGGTTCTTGGTGTGGTTGGGGGAGTGAGTCAGATGACTATGTAAAAGGGGACATTATGTCATGACAACAGGTGGAAACACTGACTCTCGCTGGCAAAGCGAAGTGCGGGTCACCCTAAGACTGAAGGCCAGGAAAGCATCTTGGAGTTGATGATGGATTGAGCAGTAGGTAGAGAGCGGCTTGTGTTCAAGTCCTGCTCTGTCCCTTATTAACTGAAGGACTGTGAACATGTCACCTAACTTCTTCAAACCTCAAGTTTCCTGACCTTTACAACTGACTATTCCAGTAGCTCCATCCATGAATATTTGCTGTGAGGATTTTAAGAGACAATGCACTAAAGATCTTAACTCTATCAGGCTTGTAAAATTCCTTCTCAAAGAAAAAAAGAGGCAATCATTGTTATAATAGTACTCTGAGAGATAAAACATTTCTTTCCCCAATCCATTGCTATTATGCTTTCTTATTCTCTGGAAAAAAAAAAAAAACAACACACACACACACAGAAAATTTACATCAGTGAAATTTACTTAAACTTTATGTCAGTTCCATGAATTATATTCATAAAATGTAGAAAATTTAAAAACACAAAGCAGTGAGTATAAACAATAAAATAAAATGAACTCTAATTCTACTATTTAGAGACAACCACTGTCAATAGTACTTTGATATATTTCCTTTTAATTTTCCGTGCATGCATGTTTACTAAGAAATGCTAAATATATTTCAAAACAAAATCAGGATTATGCAGTATGTATACAGTTTGGTTTTCATTTTTAATGCTTAACATTGTTTGTGACTATTTTCCTAGGCCATTGTTTTTTGTGTGTGTGAGGGAATGGAGAGAGAGAGTTTCGCTCTTTCGCCCAGGCTGGAGTGAAGTGCTGCAATCTTGTCTCACCGCCCCCCGGGGTTCAAATGATTCTCCTGCCTCAGCTTCCTGAGTAGCTGGAATTACAGGTGCCTGCCACCATGCCCAACTAATTTTTACATTTTTAGTAAAAATGGGGTTTTGCCATGTTGGCCAGGCTGGTCTCGAACTCCTGACTTCAGGTGATCCACCCGCCTCAGCCTCCCAAAGTGTTAGGATTACAGGCCTGAGCCACCACACCCAGCCCCATTGTTCTTTAAAAGTATCTTTTCATGGCTATAGAGTAAGTCTTCTTAAAAATGTGTCATCTATTTTTCCTTGTGGCCAAATGTGTTAGCTCACACCTGTAATTCCAGCACTTTGAGAGGCTGAGGCAGGAGGATCACTTGAGACCAGGAGTTTGAGACCAGCCTGGGAAACTTAATGAGATCTAATCTCTACAAAAAATTAAAGAATTAGCCAGGCATGACGGTGTCCACCTGTGGTGCCAGCTACTCAGGAGGCTGAGACAGGAGGATTGCTTTAGCCCATAAGATCAAAGCTGCAGTGAGTGGTGATTGTGCCACTTTACTCTAGCCTGGGCAACAGAGTAAGACCCTGTCCCTAAAAATAAATAAATAAATAATTTTTCCTTGCATTTAAATTATAAATCAATAATGTGATGACTGTGTTTGTATGCAAGTCTTTATTTGTACACCAAGTGTTGACTTAGGACAAATGCCCAGAAGTAGAATTATTGGGTTACAGATGCTGTTTTTAACTCTTTGGAAACCTATTGCACATGACCCTCTGGAATGTGTGTGACCTTTAGGCTATCTTAGAAGTATCTGTCCACTCTTCTCTCTAACTTAGAGCATCACTATGAAAATCTTTACAGTTGGATAGTGTTTGTTGACATTCAGCATGGTTTCACATATTTATTGGCCAGCAGTCTATCTTCCTTTGTCGGAAGCATGGTTTAGATTTTTGTTTACAGAAATTTAGGGAATTGGTATTCGATGAATATGGTAGCATGGGTGCTAGTGCTGGGCTCTGATGTTCTGTTTCAAAACCAGCAATTTCAGAGACTGAGATGTGTTTAATTTTTACTTGATTAGATAATGGTTTGGCTAATCAAGACAATTCATTATGACAATCTTAACTCCAAATTATTTTTTAGGTAATTAAAGCCTTACAGGTAGTAGATCATGCTTTTGGGATGTTGATGGAAGGCCTGAAGCAGCGGAATTTGCACAACTGTGTCAATATCATCCTTCTGGCTGACCATGGTATGCTTTTAAAAACATTCTTATTTTATTATTGATTATAATTTATCACTTCAGGAATCATACACAGATAACAGTGATATTTTAAAATCTCTACTTCTAGACCTAAAGTCTCTTGAAGAAGCAAGGAATGAATTGTGGTAGATTGTGATGAAAAGAGGACTACATTAAATTTTCTAGTTTAATTATTCTAATAGTCCTGAAAACCTACCCATACACACTATGTTTTGTAAAAGTGGAGTTAATGATATTTAACAGGGATGTGGTTGGGTTTTTATTCAATCTAAAGAGTGCTTTGGGGCCTTCATTCCAGCCATGGTTCGTTCATGTAGATTGGCTGCAGTTTACTGTAACTGGCAAGTTTTGCCACACCGTGTGTATTTTTTTTAGTTATGTAAATAGATGTGTGTTTATTCATAGCTTTTCATCTTTAAAGTTACTGTCACCTCACATTTCTCTACTTGAGGTTAACTCTTGATTTTGATTAACCTGAATGTTAAAGGAAGTGAAACAGTGGGGACACCCTCTCCAACCTCATGCAAAATGCATTCAAACAGTTTTGAAGTACATAGGCACTCATTCTACAGAATTTTTTTTTTTTTTTTTGAGATGGTGTCTGGCTCTGTTGCCCAGGCTGGAGTGCAGTGGGGCGATCTTGGCTCACTGCAAGCTCCGCCTTCCAGGTTCATGCCATTTTCCTGCCTCAGCCTCCCGAGTAACTGGGACTACAGGCGCCTGCCACCACGCCTGGCTAATTTTTTGTATTTTTAGTAGAGACAAGGTTTTACCACATTAGCCAGGATGGTCTTGATCTCCTGACCTCGTGATCCACCCACCTCGGCCTCCCAAAGTGCTGGGATTACAGGCGTGAGCCACTGCGCCCGGCCTCTACAGATATTTTTTAAGTGCCTAGTCAATGCTAGGTACTTTCCTAGATATGGAGTAGATCCTTCCTAGCTAGGGTAGTCAAAGTGTCCTCTTGAGGAGGACATTTAAAGTCAAGCCCCAATATCTGTAAAGGAACCAGTCATGGGGCATGAGGAAAAAGAGTGTGTCTGTAGAACTTTTGTTCATATTTTAGAGCATCCAGATAATGGGAAACATAGTAATGTATTTTTAAATTTTCTAAGGTTGTTCCCTAACACTTTGCCCTATTGTTTTAAAATTAAAGAGAAACTTTTTGTGTAATTTTGTTAAAAGAAATTAATTAAAATAATAATTTATATGCAAGCCAGACACCATGGCTCAGGCCTGTAATCCCCTCACTTTAGGAGGCCGAAGCTGGTGGATCACCTGAGGTCAGGAGTTCGAGACCAGCCTAGCCAATATGATTAAACCCCATCTCTACTAAAAATACAAAATTAGCCGGGTGTGGTGGCACACACCTGTAGTCCCAGCTATTCGGGAGGCTGAGACAGGAGAATCGCTTGAACCCGGGAAGTGGAGGCTGCAGTGAGGCAAGATCATACCACTGCACTATAGCCTGGGCAACACAGCAAGACTATCTCAAAAAATATATATATATGCAGTCTGAAAAATCTTCAAATAAAAAAAGTTAACTACCAAATCTTTTTATAGCACATACTCCTTATATAAATTTAAATTACTTTATACTTTTTTGAGACAGAGTCTTGTTCTGTCACTTAGGCTGGAGTGCAAATGGCATGATCTCGGCTCACTACAACCACCACCTTTGAGATTCAAATGATTCTCATGCCTTAGCCTCCTGAGTAGATGGGACTACAGGTGCATGCCACCACGCCACCATGTCTGGCTAATTTTTGTATTTTTTGGTAGAGATGGGGTTTATCATGTTGGCTAGGCTGGTCTCAAACTCCTGGCCTCAAGTGAGCTGCCCACCTCGGCCTCCTAAAGTGTTAGGTGTGAGCCACAGCCTAAATAATATACTTTTAAAAGTAAGAATTACTTCCATTAATCTATTACACGTTGAACAAATGATCTGTTTATAATATCCATCTGTGCTTGCCTCAAACATGACCCTTGTCCACTGCCACAATTTTCTGCCAGAGTAAAGTAATAAGAGTGAATTGTGTAACTTCTCAGTGAAACTTGGTTTGAGATCTGTAACATAAAATGTCTTCTATTTGACATGACGGAAATCAACCGTTGCCATTTATATATGTTCAGTGGATTATTATGATTATTTTTTGATTCAGGAATGGACCAGACTTATTGTAACAAGATGGAATACATGACTGATTATTTTCCCAGAATAAACTTCTACATGTACGAAGGGCCTGCCCCCCGCATCAGAGCTCTTAATGTACCTCATGACTTTTTTAGTTGTAAGTATGAAGACACCTATATGAAAAAAAGGGTAAAACTGAAAATGAATAACCATAGTTCTCTAATTCTGAGAGGAAGTTGGGATTATCAGACTCCCTACTGACTTCTTGAGAAGACCACACAGAAACAAGTGGGAAATTCTCATGCTTAAGTACATTCTATAAAGTCTATGGTAATATCTAATATTGTTAAGTTGAAATGTATCCTACTGTGTTCTAAATGCTAAAATAATTCTTTGCTTGAAATAACTTTTAATTTAATTTTACCAGATCATAGTTATTAATAAATGAATGTATCAAATTCATCTGAGTGGTTCACATTCTTTGCATTTGTTCATTATCAATTGTAATGTCATTTATTTCTTTTTCTTTTGAAACAGTTAATTCTGAAGAAATTGTTAGAAACCTCAGTGTAAGTATACAATATTCTTAATGCATATATTTAACTTAATGCAATGACCTTAATCTGGGTTTTTGAGAAATTCATATTTTATATTTCTAAGTCTAAGCTACTTGGAATTTATTTTTTAAATCTTCCATCAACATTATTTTATATGTGTATTAGTTGCTTTTATCTTAGTTGTTTTCATTTTGGAGCAGACACATCCAAAGAAATTAGTTGGCAATAATAGTAGCACTAAATCCTGGCTTATATTGAAAGGGCTGATGTCCCATTCAAAAGGGTGGTGTTAGCTTCAGGTAGCACCATTTTTTGTGTGACTAGTATAAGAGGATAGTGAATTACACCTCTTACAGATCTTTTTTTTTACAAGTCAAAAAGATAATCTCTTTACTCACTACTATAATTGCAACTGCTTTTGATTTGTTCCCACATCCCAAATTGTAAATGAATAAGTAGAGAAACTTCCAGATATCTTAAAGCAATATTTTTGAAAGTACAATTCACTACTCCTGGAGAGACCTGGAATGGTCTTCTGTAATAGTTTTGTTATTTATTTATTTATATTTATTTTACCTTTACAGTGTTTGCTTTTATTAACTTTTTTAAAAAAAATTCAACTTTCATGTTAGATACAGAGGGTACATGTGCAGATTTGTTACATGGGAATATTGTGTGAGTCTGAGGTTTCTAATATGGAGCCTATCGTCCTGGTAGCGAGCATTGTACCCAATAAGTAGTTTTTTAACCCACACACCTCCTCTTCCCTCTAGTAGTCCACAGTGTCTATTGTTCCCCTACTTACGTTCATGTGTGTTCAATGTTTAGCTCTCACTTATAAGTGAGAACATGCAGTATTTGGTTTTCTGTTCCTGTGTTAATTTGCTTAGGATTACGACCTCCAGCTCCATTCATGGCGCTCCAAAGAACATGATTTCATTCTTTTTTATGGCTGCATAGTATTCTATGGTGTATATGTACCACATTTTCTTTGTCCAATCTACTATTGTTGAGCACCTGGGTTGATTCCATGTCTTTGCTATTATGAATAATGCAGCAATACACATATGAGTGTATGCGTGTTTTTGATAGAATGGTTTATTTTGGCAGAGGGGTATATACACAGTAATGGAATTGCTGGGTAGAATCATATCTCTGTTTTAAGTTCTTTGAGAAATCTCTAGACTGCTTTCCACAGTGGCTGGACTAATTTACTCTTCCACTAACAGTATATAAGTGTTCCTTTTCTCTGCAACCTCACCATAGCATCTATTGTTTTTTGACTTTTGAGGGGTGGCCATTCTGACTAGTGTGAGATGGTATCTCATTGTGGTTGTGATTTGCTGACAAAAACAAGCAATTGGGAAAGGACTCAACAAACGGTGCTGGGATAACTAGCCAGCCATGTGGATGTTGAAACCAGACCCCTACCTTTTGCCATATATAAAAATTAACTCAAAATGGATTAAACATTTAAATGTAAGACCTCAAACTATAAAAATCCTGGAAGGCAACCTAGGAAATATCCTTCTTGACCTGGGTCTTGGCAAATAATTTTTGGCTAAGTCCCCAAAAGCAATTACAACAAAACAAAAAATAGACAGATGAGACCTAATTAAACTAAGAGCTTCTGCATAGCCAAAGAAACTATCAACAGAGCAAACAGCCTACAGAATGGGAGAAGATATTCACAAACTACACATCCAAGAAGGGCCTAATATCCAGAATCTATAGGGAATTTAAACAAATCAACAAGCAAAAAACAAATAACCCCATTAAAAAGCGGGCAAAAGAAATGAAGAGACACTTCTCAAAAGAAGACATACAAGTAGCCAGCAAACATGTGAAAAAATACTCAGCTTCATTAATTTTCAGAAAAATGCAAGCCAAAACCATGATGGAATAGTTTTTATAGTTATATATTTAAAATATATTCACGAATATACATCTGCTACATGAAATTCATGAGTTCACTATTGTTTGCAATGCGACTATAACTGAGTACAGGGGGTATGCAGCTACAGGCTTACCTTGGTTTATTGTGCTTCACTGCATTGTGCTTTGCAGATGTTGCATTTTTTACCAATCGAAGGTTTTGTGGCAACTCTGCATTGAGCACGTCTATACAGTGCCATTTTTTCAACAGCATGTGCCCGTTTCATGTCTGTGTGTCACCTTTTGTTAATTCTCACAATACTTCAAATTTTTCATTATTATTATATATGCTCTGGTGATCTGTGATCAGTTATCTTTGATGTTACTATTGTAATTGTTTTGGGGCCTCCTGAATCCTACCCACAGAAGATGGCAAACTTAACAGATAAATGTTACGTGTGTGCTGATTGCTTCACAAACTGGCTGTTTCCCTTCCCGCCCCCTTCCTCTCCTCTGGACTCTCTATTCCCTGAGGCATAACGATATTGAAATTAGGCCAATTAGTAACGCTACAATGGCTTCTGAATGTTAAAGTAAAAGGAATAGTTACACATTTCTCATTTTAAATCAAAAGCTAGAAATGATTAAGCTTAATGAAGAAGGCATGTTGAAAGTTAAGATAGGCCAAAAGCTAGGCCTGTTGCACCAGACAATTAGCCAAATTGTCAAAACAAAGGAAAAGTTCTTGAAGGAAATGAGAAGTGCTACTCTAGTGAATATATAAATAATAACAAAGTGAAACAGCCTCATTGCTGACATGGAGAAAGTTTTGGTGGCTGGATACAAAATCAACCAGCCACAACAGTCTTTTAAGCCAAAACCTAATTCAGAGCAAGACGCTAACTCTATTCAACTTTATGAAGGCTGAGATGGGTGAGGAAGTTGCAGAAGAAAAGTTTAAAGCTAGCAGAGGTTTGTTAGTGAGGTTTAAAGAAAGAAGCTTTCTGGTCAGGTGAGGTGGCTCACGCCTGTAATCCTAGTACTTTGGGAGGCCAAGGCGGATGGATCACTTGAGGTCAGGAGTTTGAAACCAGCCTAGCCAACATGGTGAAACCCCATCTCTACTAAAAATACACAAAAAAATTAGCCGGCATGGTAGTGGGCACCTGTTATCCCAGCTACTTGGGAGGCTGAGGCAGGAGAAATGCTTGAACCCGGAAGGCGGAGGTTGCAATGAGCTGAGATCACATCACTGCACTCCAACCTGGGCAAGAAAGTGAAACCCCCGCTAAAAAAAAAAAAAAAAAAAAAAAAAAAAAGAAGCCTTCTCCATAACAGAAGAGTGCAAGGTGAAGCAGCAAGTATTTGTGATGACATAGAAGCGGCAGCAAGTTATCCAGAAGATCTAGCTAAGATCATTGATGAAAATGGCCACACTAAGCAACGTATTTTCAATGTAGAGGAAACAGTCTTCCATTGGAAGAAGATGCCATCTAGGACTTTCATAGCTAGAGAAGTCATTGCTTGACTTCAAAACTTCAAAGGACAAGCTGACTCTTTTATTAGGGGCTAATGCAGCTGGTGACTTGAAGTTGAACCAATGCTCATTCTGAAAATCCTAGGACCCTTATGAATTATGCTCAATCTACTCTACCTGTGCTCTGTAAATGGAAGAACAAAGCCTGCATGACAGCTCACCTGTTTATAGCATCCATTTCCTGAATATTTTGAACTCACTGTTGAGACTTTCTGCTCAGAAAAAAAGATGCCTTTCTAAATAAAGATTGCTGCTTACTGAGAATGAACCTGGTCACCCAAGAGCTCTGATAGAGATGTACAAGGAGATGGATATTTTCATGTCTGCTAACACAACATCTATTCTGCAGGCCATGGATCAAGGAGCAATGTTAACTTTTAAGTCTTATTCTTTAAGAAATACATTTCATAAGACTATTGTCATAAATAATACCTCTCATCTGAGCAAAGTATTATAAAGTGAAAACCTTCTGGAAATGATTCACCACTCTAGATACCATTAAAAACATTTGTGATTTGTGGGAGGTCAAAATATCGGCATTAATAGGAGTTTGGAAGAAATTGATTCCAACCCTCCTGGATAACTTTGAGGGGTTCATGACTTCAACAGAGGAAGTAATTACAGTCGTGGTAAAAATAGCAAGAGAGGCCAGGCGTGGTGGCTCATGCCTGTAATCCCTGCACTTTGGGAGACCAAGGAGGGCAGATCATGAGGTCAGGAGATCGAGACCATCCTGGCTAACATGGTGAAACCACGTCTATACTAAAGATACAAAAAATTAGCTGGGCGCAGTGGTGGGCGCCTGTAGTCCCAGCTACTGGGGAGGCTGAGGCAGGAAAATGGCGTGAACCCAGGAAGCGGAGCTTGCAGTGAGCCGAGATCACGCCACTGCACTCCGGCCTGGGCTACAGAGCCAGAATCTGTCTCAAAAAAAAAAAGAGAGAGAGAGAGAGAGAACTAGAATCAGAAATGGAGCCGGTAGCTGTGACTGAATTGCTATAATCTCATGAGAAAACTTGAACAGATGAAGAGCTGCTTCTTATGGGTGAGTAAAGAAAGTGGTTTCTTGAGATGGAATCTAACCCTGTGAAGATGCCATAAACATTGTTGAAAAGACAACAAAGGATTTAAAATATTCCATAAACTTAGTGGATAAAGCAGCAGCTTTGAGAGGACTTGAGAGGATTGACTCTAATTTTGAAGGAAGTTCTACTGTGGGTAAAATGCTATAAAACAGTTTTGGATGCTACAGAGAAATACTTTGTGAAAGGCAGAGTCCACTGATGCAGCCAACTTCATTTTTGTCTCATTTTAAGAAATTACCACAGTCACCCCAGCCTTCAGCAACCACCATTTTGATCAGTCAGCAGCCATCAACATTAAAGCAAGGCCCTCTACCAGCAAAAAGATGACAACTCACTGAAGGCTCAGAGGATCATTGGCATTTTTAGCAATTAAGAAATTTAAAATTCAGGTATGTACTTTTTAGACATAGTGCTGTTGCACACTCAAAAGATTATAGTATAGTGTAAACATGACTTTTATGTGCACTGGAAAACCAGTTCATACAACTTGCTTTATTGTGGTGGTCTGGAACTGAGTTCAAAATATCTCCAAGGTAGGCCTGTAGAGTAAAATCTCTGAGGATGGAGTGCGAAGGACTGGAGATGAACACTGAGCAAAGACTGGTTAATATAATCTGGGACCCACTGCAAGTTTCAAGTAGAATGGCCTTTAGAGCAGAAATTCTTTACAGTGATGATCACTCTGCTTTTCTCTCAACACCTTCCAGTATGCTGGGCTTGAGTAAAAACTGTAGACATTCTTGCCCCCTCTTCTGGTGAAGTGTATACATGCAATGTGTTCATGCTGAGTGGATGCATAGTTCAGAAGTTTCAACATGCGCACTCTCTAAATCCACATATGGTTTTCTTTCTGTTTCATCACCTCATGATCCCCATAACTGAAGCTCTGTTGGTGAGGAAGGGTAAATCTCTAATAATCCCAGTTGTGAAAGGGGATTGAGTATCGCCGGCTTTGGAAATCCATTGTATGGCATCACAGATATGGACTGGGCCTGGAGTTACAGAGCCCCAAAGAAATGAACTACCGTTTCACATAGTCCATCCTTCCCAGGAAAGTATTTCATGTGGTAGTACAGTATTCCCAGCAGTGCTGTTCTGTGGACCTATATTGAGTTTATTTTGGACAGACATAACCAAGCATGAAGTGGCAACTTTTTAAGTTCTACAGCACTCTGACTACATGAGAGACATCATTACCATTTATTCTGAGATAAAAAGTCAAAAACTGGGCTGGGCTTGGTGGCTCATTCCTGTAATTCCAGCACTTTGGGAGACCGAGGTGGGTGGATCACTTGAGGTCAGGAGTTCAAGACTATCCTGGCCAACATAGTGAAACGTCTTCTCTATTAAAAATACAAAAATTAGCCGGGCATGGTGGTGGCTACCTGTAATCCCAGCTACTCTGGAGACTGAGGCAGGAGAATCGCGTGAACCCAAGAGGCGGAGGTTGCAGTGAGCCAAGATCACACCACTGCACTCCAGCCTGGGTGATAGCGCAAGACTCAGTCAAAAAAGAGAGAGAGAGAGAGAGAGAGAGAAGAAAAAAGTCAAAAATTGTATCTCAACTCTGGAGACTTCATTCCAAATTCTCGAATGCAAAGAATCACTGGTACTTCTTCACAGGTAGGCAGTGTGCCTTTGGTTTTCTCTGGATTTACTCTGGCTACACAAACGCCAGGAAAGTGTGACGGATTACACACAGGGACAGTTTATAGTTGATCCCTTGCATCTTGGGGGAAGCTGCATACTCGGCAGCTGCCAGCTTGTGCCTGCCTGCAAGTTACAAAAATATTGGCTTAAGAAAGAAGTAATGATAAATAAAACAGAAGCATAAGAAGCCTGGAAAATATACCAAAATAGACAAGAAAAACTGGCAAAAATATGTTTGCAATATATACTTTTGTTTTTCCTCTTTTATTCTCTAAACTCTCCTTGCTCTCCCACTGTCTGTATTTTGTTTAAATTTTGTTTGTGTAAATTATGTGCTTCATAATTTCTCTTATTTTTCTTATCTAAATTGTCCCTGAGATAATAGTGACACACACTTGTTAATGTATATGATATATTGTGGTTTAAAATAAATAAGAAGATGAGGAAATAGGAAAAATTTCATTTTCTTTGTTTATGGTTTTTCTTCTTGTTTCTCAAAATGGTCATGAGGGAGAGAAAGTTCCTTTGTAGTTCTATTTCTCATTACCTCATTTTTCTTTTACATAAATAGATACCAATGTGATTTGCATTTCTACAATTTTAAAATATGCCATACAGTCATAATTATTAAAGAAACAAAATTTTACTCCAATTTGTAAGGAACCCACGGTATTTTTTACAACTAGAGAGACTATAATAGGTTTCAAAAGCCATTGACTTGATTGGAAAACTAAGCAAATGTAGGTTATTTAAAAGATAAATTGAGTCTGTTGGAAAGTACTTTTTTGTGCAACTAAAGTAAATTAAAAGTGACACACACTTGATATATATGATATATTGTGGTTTAAAATAAATGAGAAGATGAGGAAATAGGAAAAATTTCATTTTAAAGTAATTTAAAACTACTTTTAAATTTTTTTACTCATATCTACTAATATAGTATTTATTTTTATATGTAATTTAGACTCAAAAGTAGTCATTGTCTCTCTAAATCTAGATGTCTGTTCATTTCTGTTAAAAAAGAGGGTAATTTATAGTGGTTTAATATATAATATATATGGTTATATATGATATATGATATAGCCATATATCATATATTATATAGTTCTATATGATATATGGTATATGGTTATATAATCTATATTTATATATTACATATAAATTATATATATATTATATATGTAATATATAATATGGTTTTTATATATATATTATATAAATAATGTTTATTCAGTATTATTATAGTATAGAATATGAGTTTATCTTATTATAATTATATAATACATATTATATATTATATATTATAAATAGCATTCATATGTTTAAATATTATATATACACTATAAATAAATAAATATATAAGTATAACTATTATACAATATATAATACATAACCATATATCATTATATCATATTTTTATATATAATAGTAATATATCATCATGTATAAGTGAAATGATATGTATATATGTGATATGATATATAGTTATATATTATACATTATATATGATATATAGTTATATATTATACATTATGTGTGAAATATATAATATATAACCATATATCATGTATCATATATTTTATAATATATAGTCATATATTATATATTATATATGGTGATATGTATATATGATATGTGATATATATGATATATAGTTATATATAATATATATGGTTATATATTATATATAATATATGGTTATACACACATACACCCCCCCACCAGGAAAAAAAACTGAAAACATTAACTCATAATTTAAATCAGATTTTTTATTTTTTTGAGAGAGTCTCACTCTATGGCCCAGGCTGGAATGCAATGGCATGATCTTGGCTCACTGCAACCTCTGCCTCCTGTGTTAAATCAGATTTTTAATTGCAACCTGATTATCATTGCAATGATAAAAGTAATAACCAGGGAATCTGACTACATCGATAATAGGTTTAATATTCCTATTGTATTAGCCAAGCTGAAATCCCCTTACCTTTAAAAGGTGCTTCATAAATTGACGTAGAAGATGAACTTTTAAAATTAATTTGCATATCTTATGTATCATAAAGAAATACTTACTTGCTTTTCAGTGCCGAAAACCCGATCAGCACTTCAAACCCTATTTGACTCCTGATTTGCCAAAGCGACTACACTATGCCAAGAACGTCAGAATCGACAAAGTTCATCTCTTTGTGGATCGACAATGGCTGGCTGTTGGGTTCGTGTATCTATTTGCTTATCTCATAATGCCTTTAACAACCATCTGTCATTATAAGTCTACTTAACCTTACCCTGCTATTATCATCACTGTGAATTTTCCTGAGCATTGATATTTTCTTGACTTTTTGCATGCTATTTAGCAGTTCTGCATTTGAAGTGATTGTTATTAGATTGCTGATTTTAGCATCCTTATCTTCACAATATAGGTGAGAATGAGGGGTAAGGCTAAGACTGTGCCCAGGGACTGTAAGTGCCAGCACCTTCTTACCCCCACTATGCTGTCCATTAAGGCAGCAGATAGATGATATCAGCTGTCTTTCAGCCTGATAGAGAGTGAGTGATTACACAACTCTTTAAGACCTTTGTCATCTTTGTGGTTTTTATAAAAGAGCACATATAGGGCTGTAAGACCAAGCTAATGAATTAGTTGTAACATTTATTTCTTATTACTATTTATAATTGTAATTTATGTTGATTATTGAAACATTTGCAAAATTTAAATGTGCTTAGAGAAAACAAAACCATTTTTGACTTTGTGCATGCTATTTAGCAGTTCTGCATTTCAAGTGATAGTTATTACACATTATGACTTACTCCGTCATAAATAACCAATTAATCCATTGATTCAACGTTTTATTGTATGCTTGTCATGTATGCGCCAGGCCCTGCTCTAAGCATTTGAGATACAGATCTGTCTCCTGCTCTCATGTACTGTAGTGGAAAAAACTGAAAATAAGCCAGCAAACAAATAAATATACACTTTGTGATAGCTAAACTGACAATTCCTATTTTTGAATTTCATACCAGCACTTTTTTCCTCATGCATAAGTAGATATAAAAAGTATCTGGACTTTACGGCATTTTTCTAGCCTATTTAATATGTATGAATGTAATGCTGGGGGATAGAATGACAATGGCAATACAGTGGCTAAGAGATGTTTGACAAAGAAAAAGGAGATGACACTTTGGGAGGCCGATGTGCACAGGTCACTTTAGGCCTGGAGTTCGAGACCAGCCTGGCCTACATGATGAAAAATACAAAAAATTTATAAAAATACAAAAATTAGCCAGGCATGGTGGCACAGTAATCCAAGCTACTTGAGAGGCTGAGGCAGGAGAATTGCTTGAACCCGTGAGGCGGAGGTCGCAGTGAGCCAAGATGGCACCACTGCACTCCATCCTGGGCAACAGATCAAATTAGTATTTGATTCCATCAAAAAAAAAAAAAAAAGGAAAGAATGGAAAGGAAAGCAAAGGAAAAGGAGATGAAAGAAGACAAGGGACAAGGGAATCAGGCTCCAACGTTCAGGATCAGGAACTGGGAATTTGGCTAAGCCTATTCTACAAAATAACCTGGAAACCTGTTTGGCCTGAGAGTGCAGTTTCACACTGGTTCACTAGATGGCGCGGACCCCTCTCTTTGGGATCAAAGTTCATTAACCCTTTGTGTACTGTGGCTCAGGACATACTCTAGAAAGTGTTTTCCTTAAATATGTGAATGAAATTAAGCTCTACTAATACTATATACAATTTTTAGTAACTTAGGTATGTAATATATAAATAAATATATGTCCAAGTTGGGGTGCATTCTGCAAATATTTACTGGTGAGAGTCTAACACCAAAGAAGTTAGGTCACTGGTACAGGAGAAAGGGCTATAAAGTGAGAGCTCACCCACCCAAATACCTCTGGGTATCATGCATTAATACCCAATCTCAAATGGTGAGCTGTTTATTCTTTCAAAAACCAGCACTGAAATGTTAAAAGAACTGCAACCCAAGAGTTCACAGTCAGGCTCCCCACCTGGCTAGGTTGTGGGAACTAGGAAAAATTAATATCTTAGAGTCTAATTTTTCTCATCTGTAACACAGGATTAGCCTAGTTTTATTAGTTTCTTGCCATTAACATACGAAGTAAACTAATTTACATCAAAGGAAATTTTGAATACAGCCTTAACAAGAGAGCAAGTGAAGAATCTACTCTGGGCCAGGCACAGTGGCTCATGCCTGTAATCCCAGCACTTTGGGAGGCTGAGATGAGCAGATCACAAGGTCAGGAGTTTGAGACTAGCCTGGCCAACATGGTGAAACCCCATCTCTACTAAAAAAATACAAAAATTAACCAGGCCTAGTGGTGTGTGCCTGTAATCCCAGCTACTCGGGAGGCTGAGGCAAGATAATTGCTTGAACCCGGGAGGCGGAGGCTGCAGTGAGCCGAGATCGCACCACTGCACTCCAGCCTGGGCAACAGAGCAAGACTCTGTCTCAAAAAAAAAAGAATCTAATCTCATTAAATCCTGGATTCACTCTCTCCAACTCTTAAAACACAAGCCTCTGGCTACTTATTTTCTAGTGAAGGTACATCATCTTTAGTATAATGTGCATTATTTGATAACTAGGTTAGATTCCCTTTGCACAATTATAGCAAATTTCAACAGTTTGTATAATCTATTTTCATCATCATCATCATCATCTTTATTTTGCCTAAAATGTGTTAGATTTTACTAATTTGGGGAAGCCTGATGTTTTGATATAGTAGAAGTATTAGTAAAGTGCTTTTTTAAAATAACATGAATATTAGCTTTTTATTTTGGAACAGCAATTGACAAATAAATTTCAGGCACCTTTTTAAGAACTAGAGATAACCAACAAAACACCCAACCAAAGGATCTTTCCCCAGGTAGGAAGATAACAACTATAATCAGGTGGGATAACTATTGCACAAGTACAAGGCTCAAGGAAGCAAAAATTACAGACCCAGCTGTGAATGTCAAGGAGCATCAGAGAATGCTTCCTGATAAGGGTGGTTGCTGACTGGGTTTTGGAAGACTCATGATGGGACAGGATACACGTTGCCATACAGCAGGTCTGCCATGTACAGTCTGTGGGCTGTACAGTAGCATCCTGCCAACAAGGTGAGTGGGAGTGGAAATGGAATCTTTGCTCAGCTCACCAAGCCTTAATGGGGGCTGCATTGGCAGGAGGAAGGGGATTCGTTATTATTGTTGTTGTTGTTGTTATTGTTTTTGCCAAAAGTGCCATCTGCTTGCCAAACCTTGAACACTGCCAGGCTGCATCCTTCAAAAGGCACCTTTTTTTCTCTCAATGATCTGCCCAGAGCACCCTTTTTTTTTTTTGAGATGGAGTCTCGCTCTATCGCTCAGGTTGGAGTGCGGTGGTGCGATCTCAGCTCACTGAAAGCTCTTCCTCCCAGGTTCATGCCATTCTCCTGCCTCAGCCTCCTGAGTACTATAGGTACTACCTCCTGGGACTACAGGCACCCTCCACCACGCCCAGCTAATTTTTTGTATTTTTAGTAGTGACAAGGATTCACCGTGCTAGCCAGGATGGTCTCGATCTCCTGACCTCGTCATCTGCCCTCCTTGGCTTCCCAAAGCGCTGGGATTACAGATGTGAGCCACCACACCCGGCCAGAGCACCTTTTTAAAGCCAGCAGTAGCTCTAGGGCAAGGAAGGGTAAAGAGAAGGAGGCAGGTTTCCAGATGGAAGAACTAGATTCCAGCAGTTGCAAGTAGTTCTGCATTGCTGGAGCAGTGAGTGCGTGAAGCTGTCATGTGTACAAAGGACCTTATCTGAAATGGCAAAGGAGTGTGACTTTGATCTTGAAGAAAGTAGGCCGTTGGTAGATACAGGTGGCTTGAGGTGAATACAGGGATATCTGTATTTGGAGAGTTCCTTCGAGATGCTACATGGACGAGGATGGTCTAGCACAGTGGTCCTCAACCCTTTAGGCACCAGGGACTGGTTTCATGGAAGACAGTTTTTCCAGGGTCAGGGCGAGAAGTGGGGGATGGCTTCAGAATGATTCAAGCACATGACATTTATTGTGCACTTTATTTCAGTTATTATTACACTGTAATATATAATGAAATAATTTTACAACTCATCATATTGTAGAATCGGGGAGCCCTGAGCTTGTTTTCCTGCAACTAGATGGTCCTATCTGGGGGCGATAGGAGACAGTGACAGATCATCAGGCATTAGATTTTCATAAGGAGTATACAACTTATATTCGTTGCATGGGCAGTTCACAATAGGATTCATGATCCTGTGAGAATCTAATGCCACTGCTGATCTGACAGGAGGCGGAGCTCAGGCGGTGATGCTCACTGACCCACCACTCACCTCCTGCTGTGTGGCCTGGTTCCTAACAGGTGTGGGACCATGGCCCAGGGGTTGGGGACCCCTAGTCTAGTGTGAAACAGGGAAGCCTGTTAGAAAGGTATGTTGTGATCCATTCCTGGGCACGATGGCAGCCCCAAGGGAGTCCATGAAGCCACGGGGATGGTGAAACTTTATATAGTGCATCACCGGGAAGGTATTATGGTTAACTTAGAAGCCACAGTTTCTAGGATAGTCTTGCTTTTATCATATTCTGTCTGACGTTTGTTCTCATTAGAACATAGGTTTTTATTTCCAGCAGTGTTAAATAAGATTAGGGGTGTGTGTGGGGGGGGGAGGGGGGTGTGTGTGTGTGTGCATGTGTGTGTGTCTGAGAGGGAAGATTCAGAAGTTCTGAAGGCAGGATGATCAATTCGGGAACTTGTTCAGGTCAGAGGATCCAGCTTAGAATGGTCGCAGTAGGCCGGGCATGGTGGCTCATGCCTGTAATCCCAGCACTTTGGGAGGCTGAGGTGGTTGGATCACCTCAGGTCAGGAGTTCAAGACCAGCCTGGCTAACATGGTGAAACCCCGTCTCTACTAAAAATACAGAAATTAGCCGGGTGTGGTGGCAGGCACCTGTAATTCCAGCTTCTTAGGAGGCTGAGGCAGGAGAAAATAGCTTGAACGGGGAAGGCGGATGTTGCAGTGAGCCAAGGTCACACCATTGCACTCCAGGCTGGGTGACACAGTGATACTCCATCTCAAAAAAAAAAAGAATGGTGGCAGTTACAGAGGAAAGAAAAGAACAAACAGGAGAGATACCGCACAGGAAGACAGGACTTGGCAACTGATCTGGCATCAGGAGAGAAGTCTTGCTCATCTCCCACCTGTGCCATCACCCAGCTGTGGTAGAGAACCCCAGCCTTATTTCAACTGTGTTAATTAGACATGGGGAAGATAATGGAGAATTTGTTCCAAAACATTTCATATAGGACTTGGAAGTTGAGCTAACTTATGACAGATAAAATCAACTCATTCTCCAAGTGCCAGCTGTCATTGTTCCATATGTAACTTCCAGAGCTAAATTAATGATTAGACATGAACATGAGGAGGTAGAGGGCAAATTTCCAAAGTTTTTACTTGGAAATAAATAGAAATTAGAGATTTTCAAACAATGTTTTAATCTTTTCCTTCTGAATGAAATTTTGCAATATTTACTATGGTTTTTAAATTGAGCTGGATTAGGAGATGGAAATATTTGTAAAAACTAGATTTTTCTGAAAATAGAAAAATAACCATAGTATGAGCATTAGAAAATTTACCAAAAATCTTAGTTCAGAAAACCTTTTTCTTTCTTTCATTAATGAACATTCTAGCTTTCCACACAGAATTTAAAACTTAATTACCTCCTACTAAATAATTCCACTAATATTGGAAAACCAAATATCTATGCAGTAAGAATAAAAACATTTATTTATTAATAATTTAAAAAATAGAGGCCGGGCGTGGTGGCTCATGCCTGTAATCCCAGCACTTCGGGAGGCTGAGGGGGGCAGATCACTTGAGGTTGGGAGTTCGAGACCAGCCTGACCAACATGGAGAAACTCCATCTCTACTAAAAATACAAAATTAGCCAGGAATGGTGGCATATGCCTGTAGTCCCAGCTACTCGGGAAGCTGAGGCAGGAAAATTGCTTGAACCCAGGAGGCTGAGGTTGCGGTGAGCCAAGATCATGCCATTGCACTCCAGCCTGGGCAACAAGAGTGAAACTGCGTCTCAAAAACAAAAGAGAGATGGAGTCTTGCTATGTTGTCCAGGCTGGTCTCTAGCTCCTAGGCTCAAGCAATCCACCCACTTTGGATTCCTGAAGTGCTGGGATTACAGGTGTGAGCCACCATTCCCAGCTGAGAATAAAAACACTTTTTAAAACCTATTGTTCGGGCTGGGCATGGTGGCTCACACCTGTAATCCCAGCACTTTGGGAGGCTGAGGTAGGTGGAACACTTGAGGTTAGGAGTTCCAGACCAGCTGGCCAACATGGCAAAACCCTGTCTCTACTAAAAACACAAAAATATTAGCTGGGTGTGGTGGTACATGCCTGTAGTCCCAGCTACTCGGGAGGCTGAGGCAGGAGAATTGCTTGAACCCAGGAGGCAGAGGTTGCAGTGAGCCAAGATCACGCCACTTTACTCCAGCCTGGGCGACAGAGCGAGACTTAGTCTCAAAAATAAACAAACAAACAAACAAACAAAGAAATAATTGTTGTCATAGTTTTATGCCAACAATTTTATTGAAATTAACTAAGATAAGGACATGAAGTGACATCCTTAGGGTATCAAACTTAATTTCCTTAGGAAGCAGGACTTGTCTTGCTTTCCCCATTCCAGGTACTTACCTGGTGTCTCTTTTCTTCGCTCTATTGAGTAGAGTTGAGTGAGTGTGGCCTGGTCAGAGTTGTGATTTATTTTTTAATTTGTGATTTATTTTTATTTTCTATTTAAACTGAATTAGAGTCAGTTATGAATTTTTTAAATGTTTTTATGTTTAATATATTTTTTAAAAACACTAAATTACTGTCCTGTCGTTAGTCGAGTTTGTAAAAACAGAAACCCTGTGGTGTCTGTGTGTTTGTATGTGTGTGTGTGTGTGTGTGTGTGTGTGTGTGTGTGTGTTTGCCGTTGGGGTGAGAGGTGGGGGTGGGGAAGCAAATGAGAGAAACCTTTTAGGGCCAGCCTTTGGAAATAGGAGTCCTTTGTTCCCTTCAGAGACCAAATTTGACCCAGTATAACACTGTTGCTTTAAAAGATCTAGGATTATTTATTGCTATTTTCCAAATATGAAAAACAGCTACTTATAAAATTTTTAATACTGCTCAATTCAAAACAGTATTAAAATGTAGGCAAAAGCGAATTAATTAAATTTGAAAAGTTATTCAAATAATAAAGCAACAGCCTATGGAAGAAAATCACAAAGGTAAACATTATATAATAATAGTCTCTGAATTTACGGAATATACTAGCTTCTTTTTACCAAGTACAGTTATGTGTTGTATAACAACATTTTGGTCAACAACGAACTGCTTATGTGATGGTGGTCCCATAATATTATAATACTATATTTCTACTATAACTTTTCTATGTTTACATGTACTTAGATATACAAATCCTTGCCATTGTGTTACAACTGCCTACGGTATTCAGTACAGTAACATGCTGTACAGGTTTGTAGCTAGGAGCAATAGGCTAGACCACATAGCCCAGGTGTATAGAAGGCTATACCATCCAGGCTTGTGTAAGTGTACTCTGTGATGTTTCCACAATGATGAACTTGTGTAAGAATGCATTTCTCAGAACATATTCCTGCCCTTAAGCAACACATGACTGGATTATAATTAATTTGCCCTGCCTATTCTTTATTCATGCTTTCATATTATTTTCCTAGACATCTTCACTGGAAAACAGAAATTGCTATTTTTCCCCAGTTGCAAAGATTTATTCCTAAAGCATTGAAATGCTAAAATAACATATTAACCAAACTATTCTTCAGCATGTAGTCGTTGATGTGTAAAGGTACACATGAGCTTGAAGACAAATTCACTTTTTAAAAAATCTGTACCTTTATTACTAGCCTTTGGTCAGTATCTATCAGTCAGAGACTTTTGAATTCTATTTATAGATCCTGGAATTTTCCTTTCTTCTCTCATACCCTTCTGTTTGTTCCATTATGGTTATGAATTTGAGCATGAAAATAAATATATTTATTAGTTGTTGATATAAAAATTTACTTATTCTGTTGTTGATAGAAAAATATATTATTCTGTTGCTGATTAAAAATTTACTTATAAAATTTACAGAAACTATATAAAATTCATTAAAGCTTACAATATGATCTCATATCAATATATTGATCAGTATGTAATAATATTTTTTCTTTATAGGAGTAAATCAAATACAAATTGTGGAGGAGGCAACCATGGTTATAACAATGAGTTTAGGAGCATGGAGGTAACTTACGGTTTTTTTTTAACTTTTATTTTAAGTTCAGGGGTACATGTGCAGAATGAGCAGGTTTGTTACATAGGTAAACATCTGTCATGGGGGTTGGTCATACAGATTATTTCATTACTCAGGTGTTAAGCCTAGTTACTGCTTTTTTAAAACAGATATTTATTGCACACCTATTTTATTATAGGCGATGTCCAAGACTCTTGAATACATCTGTGAACAAAACAGATTAAGATCCTGCCCTCATGAAGCTTTTATTCTAAGAGGGGGAAACAGACAGTAGGAATAATAAAATAATATATTATTTGTTATGTCAGATGATAAATACTGTGGGAAATAAAGAAAAAGTAAAGGAGAGTAAGGGAGAAATTGGGAGTATTTGGGGGTACCCTGGGGGCAGTGAGCAACTTTAAATAGGGTGGAAAGAGTAAGAGTCATTGAGTTGACATTGAGCAGACACTTGAAAAAGGTAAAAGAATTTGCCTTTCAAATATTCAGGAGACAAGTGTCCCAGGCAGAAGAAACAGCCACTGAAAAGGGCCAAAATTGGGAGTGTGCCTGAGTCTATGAGTAGAAGGCAGCTGATAATCCCCCATAGGTAAAGCTTTGCAACCTGGTTATCTCATCTACTTTCATTTGTCACACACAAACACACACACACACACACACTCCTTTCCAAATAGAAAAAAAAATGTGTTAGGCCTTTTATGAATATGTTTCTTTTTATTATAACATTGCCATGGTGAGTTATATCTTTTTGTAAATATTTGAAAACAATCTCTGGAGAAAGAGCTTTACTATTAATTGGGGTACTATATAATAGTTAAATTAATTATTGCAAGAAAAATCTATGCCTCCAATTCTTTGATGATTATCTTAATATATGTATGTATATACACACAGACCTGTTACCAAAACATAATTGCTTATCTATGTTTGATATTTTTCTTCTAATTGTTTATAGTCTAAAATAATTTGATCTGTTATAAATAATACAATCAAGTTAACATTAATTAATTCAGTGTAAACCAAAATATTTAGGTCTTTTTATCCCAAAAGTGAAAGAGAGAAGTATAAGTGGATCAGGAAGTTAGACTTCATCTAAAAAAAAAAAAGTTAACATTTTTGTATCATGTATTAACATATTTGATTAATGATATGAAACAGTATGAAAAGATAATATGATGTTATATGATTAAATTTCTACTAAATATTGTGCTCATATTGCAGAATTATGCTGATACTGCTTGTGTGCTATTGTTTGTATTCTCCTACTTTATTGGTATATGAGGTGCTATGGAGGTAGGTAGAGATAGAAGTAAATATAGCATTGACTATATTTGATTGGGATTGGTACAACATTACAGGTGGCAAAATATGAAAATCATTTTCAAAACTAAAAAAAAAATCCCTACAGAGGCCTAATACAAATAGGAGAGTAGTTACAGAAGGAAAATTGTGTCTCTTCCTATATTTGGTTTTGAATTTAAATGACATCTAATAATAATATGACTATTACCACCTAGGCTATCTTTCTGGCACATGGACCCAGTTTTAAAGAGAAGACTGAGGTTGAACCATTTGAAAATATTGAAGTCTATAACCTAATGTGTGGTAAGTATATTTAAATAAGTTTGCCAACAAAATATGGATAATTTTAAATATATGTAATTTGAAATTGGTAGCAAACTGAATCCCAGAGCCTGGATGCTCTGTAGTGAGAAGGCAGACAATAAAAAAGATGAGGAAGAATTATTCATTATTCAGACTTATTCAGCTGTAAGAGTGAATTCTTTTTGTTTTACTAGTAATGATAAACTTTATTTTTATTTTTGAGATGCAGTCTTGCTCTGTCACCCAGACTGGAGTGCAGTGATGTGATCCCGGCTCACTGCAACTTCTGCCTCCCAGGTTCAAATTATTCTCCTGTCTCAGCTTCCCAAGTAACTGGGATTACAGGCGTGAACTGCCAGGCCCGGCTACTTTTTTTTGTATTTTTTTGTAGAGATGGTATTTCACCATGTTGGCCAGACTGGTCTCGAACTCCTGACCTCAAGCGATCTGCCCACCTTGGCCTCCCAAAGTGCTAGGATTACAGGCATGAGTCACCAAGCCCAGCCAGTAATGATAAACTTTAGATCTCAGAACACCAACCTTTTCTGTTAGTTAGTTACTAGATGATAATTTAACTTAATAAAACTTAGGTAAATAATACTTCCAACTTTTCAAAGCAAGAGAAACATACCTAAAAACCCAAATATTTTCTTGTAATTACAGAGAGAAGCTCTCTCGCATAAAAATATGGGGAAAAAGTCCTAGCTGGATAGACACTTGTTATCATACTCAATGTTAGAAAAACCTTAAAGCATTAGGATTTTAGGAAGCCTAACCTACCTTCTTACCTGCGTGCTTGCTGCAGGCCATTGTATTAACAAATCATTTATTTACCCAGCAAGGCAATGAGTAAGCTGCAATTTCACTGTTAGCTTTAGAAATTTGGACATAAACATGCTTACAACTGTCTCTCTTAATCTTGTCATTGCTTTGTGGTAATTGAATGTGACTTAGAGACCAAAAGGTATTCAGTTTTGTTTTTGTTTTTGTTTTTGTTTTTGTTTTGAGACGGAGTCTCACTCTGCCGCCCAGGCTGGAGTGCAGTGGCCGGATTTCAGCTCACTGCAAGCTCCGCCTCCCGGGTTCACGCCATTCTCCTGCCTCAGCCTCTGGAGTAGCTGGGACTACAGGCGCCCGCCACCTTGCCCGGCTATCAGTTTTTAAAATGGTGTGTTGTAGCCTTAAAAACTTACATTCTCGGCCACTGCACTCCCGCCTGGGCGACAGAGCGAGACTCCGTCTCAAAAAAAAAAAAACAAAAAACAAAAAAAAACTTACATTCTTGATCCGCACGGCTAGGTTTATGGTCTGGACTCTTGTCCCCTTTGCAGAACTGGCTAAAAGGAACTAGATAGGACTGCAGTTCCAGGAGCGATCTGTTAGTGGCAGGCAGTCGGCAGGAATTATTTAAAAGGCTATGTTGGTAAAATATTTATGTTTCATAGAAACACACAAACATGCAAATTATATGTTTCTATGAAACATACAATTGTATTTTGTATTATATATTTTCATAGAAAAAAATGAAAAAATCTCTCTGAATATTAAGCAAAATTCACTAGTTCCATTTTTTAAAAGTGTCTATCTTTAGAGAACTTTAATATAATTAAATGTACTATAAGGAAGATTATAAATTATTTAATTTATTTAAACTTGTTTTTATTAAGAATATAGCTTTTTATGCTAGAAAATCATGATATGCTTATGAAACAAAGTGGTGATTTAAGGAAGCTTTTCTTTGGAGAAACAGAAACCGTTCATGAAAGTTCCTCTGGTTCATCTGCAGCAACTGTTCCTATTCCTCATTTATTTCAAGAGATGGGGTTTCAGTGTCTCCTAAGCTGGCCTCAAACTCTTAGGCTCAAGCAAGCCCCTTGCCTCAGCCTCTTGAGTAGCCGGGACTACAGGTGCACTGCTGAACTGGCTAGTTCTATTCTTTAGCAAGATTAGTGTTTGAAACCATGGAGAAGAGAGTCAGTAAACTGAATGGCATATGGAGTACATAGCTTCGTTACAGCAGAATTTATTAAAGGGAGTGAAAGAGTAGGTGTTTGTTTCTTTCCATCTCCCATAAAGGAGTTGTTGCTTTCCAGTATAAAGCAACTTTGAACTTGTTTTTTCAAAAAACAGATCTTCTACGCATTCAGCCAGCACCAAACAACGGAACCCGTGGTAGTTTAAACCATCTTCTGAAGGTGCCTTTTTATGAGCCATCCCATGCAGAGGAGGTGTCAAAGTTTTCTGTTTGTGGCTTTGCTAATCCATTGCCCACAGATAATCTTAGCTGTTTATGCCCTCATCTACAAAATGTAAGTAACAACTTCAGGCATCCATAAGAATGTAAAGGGGCAAGCTATTCTTAACCTGGGTAGCCGACAACTGGGGTAGCAACAACCAGGTTTGTGTTCTGCCTTGGATATTTACTTAGTAAATATATGTGGTTTCTCTGAACCTTATCTGGAAGCAAGAATTGAGAATGCATATATTATAAGATTAAGTATGGAAATACGCTTTGTAAACCGGAAAGCACTATTTGGTAATTGTTAATGTCATTATAAACTAACTGTCCTTCACCATTCAATACAGTAATCTTCGAGCTCTCTCCAATTATCCTTATAAACCATTCTTCCTGTGGTTTATGAATCAGATGTTCATGCCTGATTATTTAGAGCAGAAAGAACTGGGAGGGTGTAGGGACTGTAGCCTGCTGTTTGACACACCCACTATGGTAGGTGCCGCAGGGTATTCCTTTGGGTAGCAGGGAAGAATCTGGCTGACAGTTGACACTGGGAAGGTCTTTTTAGTAGATCAGGCCCTCGGATGAGTTCAGGAGCAGGACTTCAGATTCCAGGAGACTTTCAATAAGGTGAGGTTTCAGTGCTAGGAGAGGCCCAAGGGCAAGGAGTCATAACAGCAGCGCAAAATATAAGGACCAAGCCTACCTGTGAGAATCAGAGCACCTGGATGGGGTTGAGATTTCAGAGTGAAATTGGAGCCCAGTTATCAGGAGTCCATCAAGCTAAAATTAATGTCCAGGGTCATTTGATGGCAAGTTCCAAATGTGTTTGTAGAACTAAATAAAAACACCTGCTGCCTCAGGTAAGAATTTTTCCTTATAGTCAGAAGTAGGTGAAGACATCACAATCTCTATTCTTCAAAATAGCATTATACCACAGAAATAAATAACCAACCAAAGGGGCTTTACGGGACAAAAGTCTAGCAAACTTCTCAATGAAGATCAAATCCACAGCAAAGATCAGAGTAAGGGTGTGGGTTTCCTACCTACTGCTCCTGATAACCTCAATCAAACTGCCATTAAAAAATAATAATAACATTACTTAGTGGGTATGTTGTTTCTCATTTTAGAGATAAAGCATGCTCAGAGAAGTCAGATAAATTGTCTGAGGCCAGAGAAGCTTGTTCTATCTGACTGCAAACCCCAAGTCCTATGTGAAGAATGCCTCTTGCTATTCAGAGTGTGGTCCCAGGACCAGCATCTGCATCACTTGCAAATTGGTTAGAGATGCAGACTCTCAAGCCCTACCCTAGATTTCCTGAACCAGAATCCATATTTTAACAAAACCCTCAAGTGATTGTATGCATATTAAAGCTTAAGGAGCACTGGGATGTTGGCACCCAACTTAGTCATTGATTCCAGCAGTGATCAGAATGTTTTGCCCCATTATCAATTATCTTTTTGCAAATTCTCTCTCCCTCCCTCTCTCTCTCTGTCTCTCTGTCTCTCTCTCTCTCTCTCTCTCTCTCACACACACACACACACACACACACACACACACAGTGCAGAGAGCAGTAGTGTCTCTATATTTCTGAATAGTGGTAGAATCAGAATCTTAAGTTAGTCTAGCTTCTTTGGCAGTATAACACTAAATTCATTACTACAGAGATAATCTTGATTACCCTTTAAAACAGGTACTGTTACTTTGACTTATTTCCTTCCCTTTCCCATCCCTCGTTATCTTGCAGAGTATTCAGCTGGAACAAGTGAATCAAATGCTAAATCTCACCCAAGAAGAAAGTAAGTCAATAGAAAACATGTTAAGTATTTGATATTTAGACCTAACAAAACACAACGTGGCCCTTTTAGGACTCTCCAAAATAAGCTGATAGAGGTTCCTGAACATAAAGATTTGATTGCCAATATACAAAAGGTAAAAAAAAACAACAACAAAAAAACAAAAAAAAAAACCTTACAACAGATACAATGACAACAGTATAAGCATGGGGTAGTTCCAGCGGTTCCAGGAACAACAAAACAAATTCCTTGAAGCGGTTGTGACTCATCTGCAGTTCTCTTATTTCCTTTCCTTAGATGTAAGCAGACTGAGCTGCCTGGGTTTGAGTACTACCTCTGTGCTTCCTGGCTGTTTGATCTGGGGCAAATCACTTAGCCTTCCTGTGCCTCAGTCTTCTCATCTGTAATAATTGTACTCACCTCATGTAGTTGTAAAAATTTTGAAAGTTAATACATGGAAAGAGTTTACAATTGTGCCTGGCCTGTAGCAATATTATTATTACCTGTTATCTTTTAAGTATTCTTGTACTAAACTCACTCTGTTTCAGTTTCATCGCTTATAAAATAGGGATACCTACTTTATAGAGTTGCTATCAAGATTACATGAGTTAATATATTTTCCGTGGTCTACAGGTAAGAGCTCAGTAAATGTACTAGTTGTTTTGATAATCTTATAATCTGCCAAGTGTTATTCCATGGCATGAATAGCCTGCAGGTTTTTTTATCCATCACTAATTGATGGATTTTTAAGAAGCATACAAGTAAAAGTAAATAAATAAAATAGAATGTTGTTTTAGTCCATTCCAGTTGCTATTAGGTTGGTGCAAAAGTAATTGTGTTTTTTTCTATTAAAAGCAATGACAAAACCCAGCAGGGCATGGTGGCTCATGCCTGTAATCCCAGCACTTTGGGAGGCTGAGGCAGACAGATCACTTGAGGTGAGGAGTTCGAGACCAGCCTGGCCAACATGGTGAAACCCCCATCGCTACTAAAAATACACACACACACACAAAATTAGCTGGGCATGATGGTGCATCCTTGTAATCCCAGTTACTCCGGAGGAGGCTGAGGTAGGAGAATCACTTGAACCCAGGAGATGGAGGTTGCAGTGAGCTGAGATCATGCCACTGCACTCCAGCTTGGGTGACAGAGCAAGACTTGGTCTCAAAAGTAATGGCAAAAACCGCAATTACTTTTGCTCCATCCTAATATAACAAGATACAATAGACTGGGTAGCTTATAAACAACAGAAATTTACTTCTCATAGTTCTAGAGGCTGGGAAGCCCAAGATCAAGTTGCCAGCAGATTTGATTTCTGATGACGGCCTGATTCTTCATAAATGGCCTTCTTCTCATTCTGAGCTCATATAGTGGAAGGAGTGAAGGTGTCCCTAGGGTCTCTATGATGAAAGCTCTAATCCTGCTCATGGGGGTCTTACCTCATGACTTAATCACTTCTTAAAGGTGCCACCTCCTAATACCATCACCTTTGGGATTAGGATTTCAACGTATACGTTTTAGAAAGACATAAACATTCTAAGACATAAGTTTATAAAATTCCAACATCTTCCCTATGACAATTACTAAAGTAGGTCATCTTTGTTACAAAGTATGTACTTTTGACTTTGAAGGTTTTACCTCTTCATGTACATCCTCTGAGCTGTAAAATATAAGGAATCACAGAGGGCAGGCTTCAGATCCTTGCTTAGGCTCTTGCTTGGCCAACTTACCTATCTAAACCTTAGTTTTATAATCTGTAAAATTAAGTAGTAACACCACTATTATTATTATTAATAATAATTACACATAGGATTGTTGTAAGAATTGAAAGAGGTTAAATATGTAAAATATTTGTTAAGAGTACTTGTCATATAATAAGCCATAAGAGTGTGGTAGTTATTATATGGGTAGTTATTACATGCAAAGAAGCATTTGCTAATTTCATGAATCTTTTTATTTTATGTTATTTTAATTTTAGTAACAGCAACAGTGAAAGTAAATTTGCCATTTGGGAGGCCTAGGGTACTGCAGAAGAACGTGGACAACTGTCTCCTTTACCACAGGGAATATGTCAGTGGATTTGGAAAAGCTATGAGGATGCCCATGTGGAGTTCATACACAGTCCCTCAGTTGGTAAGTTCCTGAGTCCACTGATCCATGCAGGCAAGAAATATTTATAATCCTTTCATGTTCTAAGAACTGAATTTTGTTTTGCAGTAGAGATTCAGAGGGAGGGAACTCATTGGCCTATAGCTTGTAAGACAATGTGCAAGTATTACATAAAGGTTTTTATAGGTGCTACATGGGTGCAAAAGGGGAACACATTGTGTTTTGCCTAGAGAAAATGGAAAATGTTTACAGGCCAACTGGCCAATTGGTAAGGAAGGTAGAAAAGGACATTTTAAACAGAAGCAACAGAAGTACGGAGGAATACTATTCATTTAACATTCCCCATATACATCATGGGTGCACATAGAAGGTGATGATAACTAGATTATAAAGGGCTTTGTATTTATTTGATTATTTAACAAGTGCATTACTATTTGCTGTGTGTTATAGTAGGCACAAAGTGAATAAGGCATAGTTCTTCTCTGAAGGATCTGGAACTCTAGTAAGTCAGACTAGACTTACATGGACAAATGCATTATGTCAGAGATCTCCAGGCTAAGGTTGAGGTCCACTTGTTTAAAGCCCCCGCCCTCTTCACTGTCTGGCAAACTCTCTTGCATAAGTAGTACCAGGACAGTTGGCTACCCTTCAGGAAGAAAAGTAGATCCCTACCTCACACCACACACAAAATTAAATTGCTGGTGAATTTGTAGACCTAAATAGGAATAGCAAGTCCATGTTCCCTTTGTGCATATCTTTATGATCTTGGGATAGAGAAGGCTTTCTTGGGAGACAAGAAGAACAACATTAAAAATGCAGAGGAAATTGATTAATTACACTACATAAACATTAATGTATGACAAAATAACAAAGTTGTAGATGGAACAATATATTTGCATTGCACATAAGAAACAAGTTATGAGTATCCAGAATAGTAATTTCATTCAGAATAGCTAAAAAATTTTCACCAATCAACAACAGAATGACAAGCATCTTAGTTACTACGTGAACAAAGGATAGGAACCAAGCAATTGAATCTCAATGGCAATAAGGAAAATGTAAATTAAAACAAAACTTAGGGCCAGGTGCAGTGGCTTATGCCTGTAATCCTAGCACTTTGGGAGGCCGAGGCAGGCAGATCACCTGAGGTCAGGAGTTTGAGACTAGCCTGACCAACATGGTGAAACCCCATCTCTACTAAAAACACAAAATTAGGCACGCGGGGTGGCATATGCCTGTAATCCCAGCTACTTGGGAGGCTGAGGCAGGAGAATCGCTTGAACCCGGGAGGTGGAGGTTGCAGTGAGCCAAGATTGCGCCATTACAGTCCATCCTGGTAACAAGTGAAACTGCGTCTCAAAAAAAAAAAAAAGTAACAAAACTTTAAAGTATGCCAAAAGTCAGTCCAAACACTCCTCTGGGGCAGGGATGATTTTATTTAATATATCCTCAGCACAACAGAATTGCCCAGTAAGTGCTTATTGAATGAAATGCATTGAATGAATTAACCACAACCATTATTTTTAGACTTTTAATAACAAAGCTATACCACCAACCACACGGGTAAATAATCAGGGAACTGTTTTTGTAGAGAAAATCTTAGTATTTTAGATCCAGAGACTGATGACAAACTTATAACTATTACTGTTTTTGCTAAGAGTACCACCTCTTTTATGGAAAGGAAATATTGATTCCATAGGTTTACCTACTCTTCCTATTCCAATTCAAAATTTTTGGAGAAAAATGAGTGTATTTTCCTACTACTAATTAAAACTTTGTATATTCTGAAAGTCAGTTCTGTTGCTGTCAATGGTTCAATTGTGGTCACTAGTAACAGTACTAATGTTTGTTTGCCAATGTGGGAAAATATTTTACCAACAGTTACCTGAGTTCATATGTATGGTTGGTGGCAACATTACTTTCTTAATATGCACAATGTTCAATTCGTGATTTTCTTCAACATACAACATTCCTTAAAATAACTTCTATTTTGTTACTGTTTTCGAGAGGAGTGGCACACTCAGGGTCAGTCCTATTATTTAATTTTCTATTTTGAAAATTCCAAGTATGAGGGATTGTGTGGCATTAAAGGGAATGTTTATGTTTTTAATACTTTTCCCTGCTGTCTTGCATTCTTGAATTTTTATGAGCTTCGGCGGAAACCAAAGACGGAGAGATTCTAAGTGGGCTCAGGCTAGGAGTTTAGTACAATTCTTCTTTGTTATTGTTTTAAAACTAGCTTCTTTGTTACCAAAAGTTCCTGTCCTTTCACTGATCCCACAGAAGTACTTGTGTATTTCTCCCTCCATGTGACAGGATGGAATTCTAGCAATTTTCTGCTTTCTAATTCAGAAATTACTCTGTTAGTGTGTTGTGGTTCAAGAAAATTACATACAAGGATGTTTTGGGATTCACATAAAAATGTTGTAAATCAGCTCTGTGTTTCAAAAAATCAGACTTTAAATAAGCACTTTTCAGAACATGGACCCAATTGGCTTGAGCCTTTAAGATTTGTGGAGCTTTTGTTTTTCTGTGGTTTTGGTGGGTTTTGTAATTTTTGTTGTTATCTCAGAAGAGTTCTGGGGAAGTAGTTGTGATTTGAAATCATGGTCCTAGAACAGCTGATTCAAAACCATTAAGGTTAGTCAGGATGTACATAGATTTTGCTTCTGGGCCTGTTCAGAAGGAAGATATGAACTAGTGTTTCTGTTGCTAGGTGAAAAACTGAAAATGAGAGCAAGAATTGTGATTATTGTTTAAAATAGGTATTTCAGAATTTAATATGAAATCAAATTTTTCAGAGTAGAAATCTAGTGTACTTTGAAAAATGCCTCTCTCTCCCCCTATGTATCTATGTATCTCTCTCTCTCTATTTACCTACCTATAGTTATATGTCTGTCAATCTACACACATAACTCCCGTATCTTTCCATGTTAAAAAGCCTTTTTTTCTTGTTTCTAAAGATTATTTTGTGAGTCTTTAAAACAGGAGCATTATTGTGTGTTGCAAACATTTTTGAACTATGAAAAAATTATTTTTCCCTGTAGAAAATAAATCATACAACCAAATAATTTAAAACATACATAGTCATTATCCTTACCGTAAGGCAAAATTGTAACTATTTAATCTTCAAACAAGTAGGTTTTAGCTTGTACATTCAGCCTACAGGTAAGAAGCATCTGTAACTTCAACAGAAATAATTTTATACTCTATTCAAGTTCTACTTTGTTTCAATGCCAGACTAAAAGTACAAGCAGCTCACGTTCCTGTCTATACTCATCCTTTACTTCTCCAGAAATATTTTGAGAGCTAAGAAGTTAATATTTTATCTGAGTGTCTGAATTCTATTTATTGCTTTCCTGACTTTCTGTCCTGTTGCTTCAAAAATTCCAGGGAACTCTGACAGGATGGCAGGATTGAAGCTATTTATGTGTGTGGGGTGGTGGTGGTGGTGGTTCACTAAAGCCTTCTTTATTATAGAAAGGACCTTCCTGTACCTCCCCTCCATCCTTCTAGAGGGCTGCTTATTGCAAAATCTTGCCTGGATAAAGGAGGCCACATCCTCATTCCTAATATTGATGCACTTTTATTTGAGGGTTCAAGTTTGGTATGTAAGAAATAAATCTCAAGATTTTCGGTTAGCAGAAAATGTGACTTTTGTTTTTAGTACTTCTGGCTGAAGCTATCCCAGTTGATTTCCCCCAGCCCAAAGTCTAACCTACTTTGAGAACATGATAAATATTTTGACCAACTAAGTTGTTTAAGCACAACTTTTACAGCCACAGCCTCATTAAAAATTACAATAGACTTTCTTTGTTAACATTTTTATAATTTTAACTGTTAAATTTAAGCATCTCAATTTCCTAACATTATGGAAAATCCATATAGGGCTACATTTATATACTGTATATTTCTTCAAATAAAACTTACTAATGTGAAATGTTTGAGTACAACGATAAAGATGTGTGTTAGGAAATATCAAACTCGCAATATACCAGGTGTCTATGGGACCAACTTGGTCAGCAGTCACTATTCCTTATTCTCCAATTTTACAACATACTTATGTGGCCCTTACACCAAGTGGAGAAACCTGGTCACTTAGAACTGTATACTATGATATGTTTTTGAAAGAATATAAACAAATGCTTTTAGCTTTCCAGCTCTGCCACCTGAAGGAGAGTGAAATAAATGGTGAGAACTCATCCAACTCATTTAGCACAAAGGTCTTCGTTTTTCTTGGTGTACTTCTTGTTTTGGTGGACTATATCACTCAGGAGCTTCCTGAGAAAGAAAAAGGTGAAGAGATATTCTTGAGAGTTTGTGGGTCTCAACATGTTTTTACTCTGCCTATATACTTAATTAGTGTTTTAGCTGGTTTCAGAATTTTAGAAATAATTTTTCTTCAAAATTAGTAAGACAGGCCAAGCGCAGTGGCCCACACCTGTAATCCCAGCACTTTGGGACTCTGAGGCAAACGGACCACCTGAGGTCAGGAGTTTGAGACCAGCCTGGTCAACATGGCAAAACCCTGTTTCTACTAAAAATACAAAAATTAGCCAGGCATGGTGGCGCATGCCTGTAATCCCAGCTACTTGGGAAGCTAAGGCAGGAGAATCAGTTGAACCCAGGAGGCAGAGGTAGTAGTGAGCCAAGATTGTGCCATTGCACTCCAGCCTGGGCTACAGAGTGAGATTCCATCTCAAAAAAAAAAAAAAAATAGACTTCCTGGTCTGATTCTCTAATGTGTTTGAATTTTTCCTATTTTTCCCATCTCTTTGTCTTTAATTCCACCTTTTGAGTCACATCTGCAACTTCATCCTCTAGATCTTATTGAGTGTTTTCTTTTGCCTGTCGTATTTTGAAATCCCAAGAGCTCTTTCTGTTACCTTTTCCCTTTTTAAAAATTGCCTCTGTTCCTTCTTTGTGGATGCCATATATACTCTCAGCTCTCTGAGAAAAGAGTTTTCTTCTGGCTTCCACATTGTCTCTTTTTCTTCTCCCTTATTCCCCAATGTCTAGTGGTCCTTGGCTGTCATCTTCTATTTTAAGAATTAGGCACTAAACTTTATGGCTGGGTCTTTCCAGTCTATAAGCTTCACTATAGTTTGATCAGGAAGAGAACCAGCCATTTTGTTGAGGACTCCAAATTGACAGTATCTAGTTTCCTTTCAGGCTGGTTGTTTTCCAAAGAGAGGATACTTCTAATCTGACTCAGCATATAAAGTTTTCAGGCTAAATGGGCAATGAGATTGGGGAATCTTATTATTCAGCATATAGTTTTATTTAATCTAATTGTTTTCAGTATGGTGCACCTGCTCTTGGCTGTGCCTTGTGTCTTTTAGTCTGATCATCCCTCTGGTTTAAACTCTCCAGAGAGTAAACATACTGTCTAGCCCTTTTTGCAGACTTTCAATCTATCCTCTATTTCCAGCCTTATGCAAACTCCTGTCTTTAGGACTCCAAGTTCTACCCTTCTGGGGTTCTACAGTAGGACGTTCTTGGTGCTTTCCCCAAACATAAGCTCTTGGTAGTCAGTGTTTACTGGTCTACTAAATTAGATTATTATTTATCTGATTTCCAGCTTCTGAATATTCCCTGTCATCTCTTACGTGTTTTCATTATTACTGTCCTCTTAATGGAATTTTAGAAGGGAGCAAGGTAAGTGTATGTGTTCAATCAAGTTGAGAAGTTTTCTCAACTTCTGTATCTTTTCTAGCTAGAGCTTTGTATTATGTTAGGGAGTACAGTCTCTGCCTTGCTTTTTCTGGACTTTTCTCATCTTCAGCTCCCACCTGTTCTATACCTCAGCATGGTGCTCTCCTGGCTACAAAGACAGCACACAGTGTATGTTGCCTCTTCCTTTGTGAATTGAACTCAGAGGTTTTAGACAATGTAGCTAATTTTGCTTTCAGCACAGTGCAGTGAATAAAGGAAGGTCATCCTAATTTAACTTAACCTTCATTTTTTTTTATAAATTATTTCAAGTTTTATTAAGAAAGATAACCATTACAGGCAGTAGAGAGCATACAAATCAAAATGTCTGAGAAAAATAAACAAATAGTAAAATGTTCACTTACCCACGATTATATGCTAATCAAAATATGATGACCACATAATATAGTATTACCTTAAATAAGTTAGGCAGCACATTTATAGGATGTCCCCTTGGTAAATAAATCATTGTACTAGTCTTTAAATAAGGTTACAAAGAAATTATTACTGTTTTTTAAGACAGAGTCTTGCTCTGTTGCCTGGGCTGGAGTGCAGTGGCACGATCTCAGCTGACTGCAACCTCCACCTCCCAGGTTGAAGCAATTATCATGCCTCAGCCTCCCCAGTAGCTGGGATTACAGGCACCCACCACCACACCCGGCTGAGTTTTGTATATTTAGTAGAGACGGGGTTCCACTACGTTGAACCTTGAACTCTTGACCTCAAGTGATCCGCCCACCTCAACCTCCTAAAGTGCTGGGATTACTGGCGTGAGCCACCAAGCCTGGCCTAAGACATCATCATTATTATTATTATTATTATTATTATTGTTAATTTCAGATGGAGTCTCGCTTCATCACCCAGGCTAGAGTGCAATGGCGCAGTCTCACCTCACCTCCACCTGCCGGGTTCAAGCGATTCTCCTGACTCAGTCTCCAGAGTAGCTGGGATTATAGGCGCCCGCCACCATACCTGGCTAATTGTTGTATTTTTAGTAGAGACGGATTTTCACCATGTTGGCTAGGCTGGTCTTGAACTGCAGACCTCGTGATCCGCCTGCCTTGGTCTCTCAAAGTGCTGGGATTACAGGCATGAGCCACTGCGCCCGGCCGGGCCTAAGAAATTATTTTTAAAATTCTTATATTTCATGAGGAATGAAGCATGGCTGTAAGTTTATTTATATTAAAAACTAATTTGTTTAGACAACTACACCTTCTTTGAATTAATCTTAGGTTGATAAAAAGTTCTTGAACAGCTGAAGAATAATATATTAATACTTAGTTTATATCTGTATTTTAAAAGTAAATACATTTTACTTTCAATTTTTATTTACAAGTACAATATATATCACCACAAAAAAGTTAGATCTTGAAAAAGATTTTAGTTTTTAGGAATAGTTCCCATTATTCCTCTCCTCTCAATTCGGGTTTCATTGTGCAAATATTTTTTTCCGAGGTGTATTTGATTTGCCCTCCTGATGTCCTTAACCAGAAGGGAACCACAGAAGAAAACACTGCTGAAGACATCCATTCCCATTGCTTGCCTAGACCTGATTCACTAAGAAAATAGGAAAAGCTTAAATGAAAAACATTCTAGGGAAGTGACAAACCATATAAGGCAATGGGTGAGCCGCGATTGTGGGCGTAATTTTTTTCTCTCTCTCTTTCAACAGGGAGACACATCGCCTCTTCCTCCCACTGTCCCAGACTGTCTGCGGGCTGATGTCAGGGTTCCTCCTTCTGAGAGCCAAAAATGTTCTTTCTATTTAGCAGACGAGAATATCACCCACGGCTTCCTCTATCCTCCTGGTTAGTAGAACTCTTTTTTAGAGCAGTCGCTTAGAAAGCTCTCATCAGCTGGATGTGGGCATATGCCTTAAACATATAGTCCCCACCAAAACTACCTGCTTGGGCTAAGCTAGCTGCCTGAGACACTTCCAGTGGTTGTGGCTGGCCAGAGCAGCACAGCGGCTGTAATAAAGACTAAGACATTTTGCAGTGGGACCCACACAGCAGCTCTCATCTGGCCCAGATGTTTAGAGAGCTCGGCAGCTTTAAGTTTAATTTTAAAACTGAAGATTCTTTGCAGAAGGACACAAACATTTAAAAACCCATTTCTTCTGGTTCCTGCCCAAGCTAAGGTCTGCCTGGAGAATACAGCTGTGCCCGTGAAAAGAAATCAGGCTGGGTGTTCGCTTTGGCAGAATATATACTAAAATTGGAATGATACAGAGAAGATCACCTAATAAAATAAAATAAGAAATCAGGCTGGAATTTTGGCCTGTTGCTCATGCTGTAGGGCTAACAGTTTTAAACTGCAGGTGAAGCAGCTAAATGAAATTTAAGTTTTTTTTGTTGTTGTTTTCAGAAAGGATCTCTTTTGGGAACCTGCCAGAGCTAGTGTGATTTTCCTAAAACTCAAGCCACTTCCCTGTGCAACAGGAAATGTCATTTTTATTAACTTGCCTATGAGATTTTCAACAATTTCACCTTCTTAGAGATTTGTAATTTAAAGATTCTGAAATTTATAATGGGCAAAAAGGCTTAATGAAAGCAAGTAGTGTTATCAATTTAAAATTCCTAACAGTTAGGATAAATAAACTGATATGTTTTATGTATCTAGGTACAATCAGGGGTAACAAATTTATGTAAGCCCTGTGATAAACATTAAAAATTTGCAACAGGCCAGGTGCGGTGGCTCATACCTGTAATCCCAGCACTTTGGGAGGCCAAAGTGGGTGGATCACCTTAGATCAGGAGTTCGAGACCAGCCTGGCCAACATAAGTGAAACCCTGTCCCATCTCTACTAAAAATAGAAAAATTAGCTGGGTTTGCTGGTATGTACCTGTAGTACCAGCTATTCAGGAGGCTGAGGCATGAGAATGGCTTGAACCTGGTAGGCGGAGGCTGCAGTGGGCCGAGATTGAGCCACTGACTCCAGCCTGGGTGACAGAGTGAGATTCTGTCTCAAAAAAAAAAAAAAAAGTTGTAACATTTTATTAATAAAATATTTGACATTGGTGTATAAAATTGTGTCTGTTAGGCCATAAGATATTAGTTAATACATAAATGTTTGCCTGACAAGGAATAAAATTAATAATTAAACAACTTGTCTCAAAAAATTAAGGATACGGCCAGACATGGTGGCTCATGCTCGTAATCCCAGCACTTTGGAAGGTCGAGGCAGGAGGATCACTGGCTCAGGAGTTTGAGACCAGCCTGGGCAACATAGTAAGACCTTGTCAGTTAAAAAAAAAAATAGTAATAGTAAGGATAAAATGAAACTCTCTTCTAACTCTCCAGTATAAATTCCAATTATTTATTAAAAATAGAAGTTCTATTAGTAGCAGGTTCTTATTTTCCTCTAAAACAGAGGTAATGTTATGTTGATTGCCTTTCCAACTTTCAGGGCTTAGTTAAAAAGGTAGAAGAGGCTTTTTGTGGAGTCGGAGAACTATAAATACCATGTGAAATCTTAAGAAAAAAGAGCTACTTGTTTCTTCGTGTCTTTTGGTGTCTACTCATTGGCCTCTCATTGAAGAATTAGTTACCCAGGCAGGATGGTGCATGCCTGTAATCCCACCTACTCGGGAGGCTGAGGCAGGAGGATCACTTGAGTGCAGGAGCTCGAGATCAGCCTGGGTAAAATGGCAAGACTCTGCCTCAATAGTAATTAAAAAAAAAGAATTAGTTAAGATATCCAAGTATAGTTTACTATAGTATAAAAAGTATTATAATAGAAACTTAATATAAGTGGAATTGTGCACTATTTGTGTTTCTGTGACTGCCTTATTTCACTCAATGTCCTCAAGTTTCATTTATGTTCTTATATATTACAGAATCTAAAATAGTCAAATTCATAGAATCAGAGAGTGAAATGGTGGTTGCCGGGGGCTGGGGGAGGGAGAAATGGGGAGTTCCTAATTAATGGGCATAAAGTTTCAGTTAAGCAAGATAAATAAGCTCTGGGGATCTTCTGTACAGTATTGTATCTAGAGTCAACAGTACTTAAAAAATTGTTAACAGAGTAGATCTCATGTTAAGTATTCTTACCAAAATGAAATTAAATGAAAAAGGATTTGAATAAACATTTATAGGTTTGCAGCTTTTAATCCTCACAATAATTCTATGAGTCAGATGCCATGAGACGAAGTACAGAGGGATGCAGCACTTTGCCCGAGGGGTGCAGTTGTGAGCAGCAGAGCTAGGGTTCCCACCTGGGCGGTCTGCTTCCAGAGCACACTCGCTGTGAACACTCACTGTGCTGGACAGCACAGCCATAAATCATGAGAGCCCATGATTTGTGGTGTTCCCTTCAGCAGTCTCTGTATTGGTCAGTTCTCGTACTAATAAAGGCATACCCAAGACTGGATAATTTATAAAGAAAAGGGGTTTAATGGACTCACAGTTCCACATGGCTGGTGATGCCTCACAATCATTAGGGAAGGCGAAGGAAGAGCAAAGAGACATCTTACATGGCGGCAGGCAAGAAACTGTGTGTGCAGGGGAACTCCTCTTTATAAAACCATCAGATCTCGTGAGACTTATTCACTATCACGAGAACAGCGTGGGAAAGACCCGCCCTCTTGATTCAATTACCTCGCACCGGGTCCCTCCCACAACACGTGGGAATTACAGGAGCTACAATTTAAGGTGAGACTGAGAGGGACACAGCCAAACCATATCAGTCTCTATCAAGTAAAAACTCATTTTCTTCAGAAAATTTTATTTTCCAAAACAGCTATCTATAATAACATTATTTTGTGCACATCCAATAGCTACGCATATATCTGGCATTCTGTTTGTTTCCTAGGACTGCTGGAAAAATTACCAAAAAAGATTGAGTGAAAACAAAAATGTATTATCTCACAGTTCTGGAGATCAGAAGGCTAAAGTCAAGGTGTTGACAGCCATGCTCTTTTTGAAGGCTCTAGGGGAAAATCCTTCCTTGCCTCTCTCAGCTTCTGGTAGCTCCAGGCATTCCTTGGCATGTACTGGTATCACTCAAACCTCTGCCTCCATCTTAACAAGACTTTCTCCCCTGTGTTTCTCCTCTTCCCAAATCTCCTTCTCCTTATTAAGACACTAGTCACTGGATTTGCAGTCCACCCCTAAATCCAGAATCGTCTCATCTAGAGACTCCTAGCTACATCCACAAAGACCTATTTCCAAATAAGTTTATATTCACAGGGATGAAAGGAATGGTTAGGACTTGGATGAAGCTTTTTTGGATCACACTTCAACCCACTACAGACATAAAACTGCCTGCATTATTAATGACTTCTGTTAGAAAGTACTATTTCTGTGCTTTGACTGTTAATAAATTTATATTAATATGTAATAGTAATAGCCCTATTGTGCAGTATGTCATATTTTCTCTTATAGCTAGATCTAATAAGATCCATTTGTTTTGCAGCCATCAATAGAACTTCTGATAGCCAATATGATGCTTTAATTATGAGCAATTTGGTACCTATGTATGAAGAATTCAGAAGTAAGTATGTATTTAGAGTATTAATTTTAAAATAGTTAAGTGAATCCCTGAACTTCCAAACTAAACACATTTTTTTAATTGCAATTTGTTCCTGATATTAAGGTCATTTTGTTCTAATGGTTTAAATATTGGTACAGGAAGGATCCCTCACATAGATTCTTTTCAACTTTGACTTTGAGTAACTTGTTGCTAGAATTCTGATAATTTCTTTTTAACCCTTAATTTGATTACTGCCACTCACTAAAAGTAAATGAAAGGTAAATGTTCATCCCCAGAGTAATAATTAATCAGGCAACATATGTGTTCTGATTATTTTTAACACTCGCTGTCCCATAAGCAACTCAGCCCTAGGGAGAAATTTGGAGGCATATTTAACTGTAATTTCAAGACTATAACTACAACAACAAAAAGCTGTCATCAATGTAGCTGTTTATTTTTGCTTGTGAAGCCTGTTCTGGAGAATTACCCAATCACCACTGACAATGATTAAAGCAGAATTTCATGCTATTTAAATGTACTTGTCTATAATAGAAAATATTGTCACGTTCGACTGAAGTAGACATTTTAAATACTTTATTATTATTTTTTTTAGAAATGTGGGACTACTTCCACAGTGTTCTTCTTATAAAACACGCCACAGAAAGAAATGGAGTAAATGTGGTTAGTGGACCAATATTTGATTATAATTATGATGGCCATTTTGATGCTCCAGAGGAAATTACCAAGTAAGTGTTTGACTTTTTGATTTATCAATAGGTCTCATGAGGGGAAATTCCAATATTTTAAGTAAAGTTTAATACTTTAAATGTTACATAATACATTCATAGACAAATGTTATTGTTGACTATTTTCAATCTAAATATTTTCCTAAATATTTAGGAAAAAACTTATATTGCAAAAAATTTAAATTAAGGGGCAAAGAGAACACTTCCTGGAAAAGTTTAGCAAAAATGTCATTTGGAAAATTGCTAAATTAATGGGCAAAGATAACGTGACATTTTGTAAAGTCTAAGGAGGTAGAGAAAACTTGATGTACTATCAGTGAATATAAAACCAATCCAACAATACATGAAAAAAAAGTCAAGTAAAGACTAAGGTAAATTTTACAAGAATAGTGAAAAGTCATGTAAAGACTAAGGTAAATTTTACAAGAATAGTGAACTATTCAAAAAAGCATTTCCCAGGAGACAATGTAGGTAAATTTCATGATGCAGAGAACTAGTCCTAACTAAACTTTACATTGTAGTACTAAGCCTGGTCATAACAGGTTGCTAAGAATTAGTTTTGAATGCAGAGCACAGTAATAGAGTTTTAGAGAAGTTTCATCTACCATTTCTCTTTATTTTCAAAACATATGAAGGACCATACTAAACAACTATACTAAGCCTAGATTATGTAAAGCAATGATTTCTACCTGTACCTTCTGATAAAGTAACATTTATGACTACTAAGTGTGTGGCCTTTTTCTATTTTTTTCACCATGTCTTTATTTCAGTGTTGAATGAATACTGAATCAATATTTCAGTATTGGCTCTTTCTTTCACAATTTCTTAATTCTAATAATTCTAACTTTGACAGCATTTTACTATATGCTAGGTACTTTTTAAAGAACTCACATATACATCAGTTAAACCGCAAAGATACCCTAGTTAGGTTCCATTAGCTCCCAGTTAGAGTTAAAGAAACTGAGGTTAAACAACTTATGTAAATTCTGCAACTAATAAGTGGTAAAGCCAGAATATGAACCTGGACGGCCTGGCTCTGAGTCCATGTTCTAAATCACGGTAATACATTTCTATTTATACCAGCTCGCGTTCCTTTGGTGGAGTCAGATTTTGCACTTAAAACTTTTGAAAACACTTTCATGTTCATTATCTGAAACCAAAGTACTGTCATATCAGTTGTATGGATTTATCCCCATGTCTACACTGTGAAGTTGATAGCACAGAATCACATCCTTGGAAAGCTGAGGAAACTCAGTAAATGATAGAATTAGAAGATGAGTGAAAGTCCAAACATTTTGTGGAAGTGCACGGCTGGAGGTGGAATCTGGGCTCCTTCATTCTCAGCTTCTGCTGTATTAGTAAACACTACTGTGAAGTATGAAGTCAACAAAACGAGGAAATGCAGGAGGCAGAATATCATGCTCTGCTTCTTTTTTTTTTTTTTGTAGTCTAATATTTTTTTATGTTAGAATGACCAAGCTTGGACTTCTGCTGTAATCTCTATTCTGGCTGATGGGAGTAAAAAATATGTAAGACTTTGTGGTTTTTATTTATTACTTTCTTTTACTATATTTTTACTTTGGCATTTCTTTAAAACTATATGAAGACATTTACTGACCTGGTGCAGTGTCTCATGCCTGTCATGCCAACACACTGAGAGCCTGAGGTGGGAGGATCATTTGAGCCCAGGAGTTTAAGACCAGCTTGGGCAACAAAGTGAGAAACCATCTTTATTAAAAAAAAAAAAAATCCAAAGTACCATTAGAAGTAGATATATATATATATGTGTGTGTGTGTGTGTGTCTTTACATAGTTTTTTTCATATATATATTTGCATATTTATACCAGCTTGTATTCCTTTGGTGGAGTCAGATTTTGCACTTAAAACTTTGCATGTAAGTTATTTAAAAAGTACCTAGCATATAGTAAAATGCTGTCAAACTTAGAATTATATGAATTCTTATTTTACATATATACGAAAAAACTATGTAAACACACTTATCACCTTTAGAAGCAAAAGTATGATAACATCAAAACATGTTTTCAATTATGTTTTGTAAGACATATAGCGAACACTGACATTCCCATCCCAACGCACTACTTTGTGGTGCTGACCAGTTGTAAAAACAAGAGCCACACACCGGAAAACTGCCCTGGGTGGCTGGATGTCCTACCCTTTATCATCCCTCACCGACCTACCAACGTGGAAAGCTGTCCTGTGAGTATGCTTTGGGAGGGTCCAGGACATGAGAAAATGAGTCAGAGCTCTTTTGGGCTCTCATAAAAGTGACTCTAAAATGTATTTTCTTAAGTGTTTCATGGAAAAAGTTGTAATACTTCATTTTTAGGCTTTTCCTTAGACTATTGATCTCTATGTAATTAATATCAATTTAAACATATATCTGCATAGTTGAACATATGTATACCTCATGTATTTTATTTATATGTTTTATTCACATTCACTAAGAATGAAAGAGATGAAATCTTGTTAATATCTTTTTTCTTTTTTAATTTATAACATGTCAATTGTATGTATTTATGAGGTATAGTGGGATGTTTAAATGCATGCATACTTTGTATACTGATGAAATCAGGATAATTAACATATCTACTACTTTAAACGTTTATCATTTCTTTGTGGTAATAACACTCAAAGTCCTCTCTTCTAGCTGTCTTGAAATATACAATACATTGTTATTAACTACAGCCACTCTACTATGTAATAGAAACACCAGAACTTATTTTTATTCTGGTCACAAATCTTAAAGTTATTCCCAATGTTAGCACTAAATTAATGTTTCTGAATGAGTATGTACATGTAAAAATTCCATCAACTTGAGCCATGAGGTGTGAAATTGATTATACACATGCACACACAAATACACACAGTTCAAGTAACATTCTTTTTTTAAACATCATTTATTAGGCTACCTCAAAATCCTTTTTGGATCAAGGCAGATTATATGTAAGTAGTTAATTCAACTTGCATATAAATTCCTTATAGAAAAAATATGTATCCTGGAACTTAGGTTTTACTGAAGTCATTCAACAAATATATTGAGTACCTATTAAGCACACAGTATCATGATAGAAACTCTTTAGAATGCACAAAGGAGGAACACATTGTCCCTGCTTTTAAAGAGTTCATATACAACTTCAATTTATATATGAGATATAGACACACAATTTAGTCAGTCAACAATGCAAGAATTATTCTAAAAACTAAAAAATAAAAGAGGTTGCAAAGTTGGGATCAACTGACAATGTTAAAAGGATTTAATATTTGAAATTAAAATCACATTTGGCTGGAATGATCAATAAAGATTTCATAAAATAAAGTGTAAGTAGGGCTGTGCCTGAAGGATGGATAGAATTTGAGTATATTGAGAAGACTACAAAGAGTCTTCCATGGAGGGTGGGTATGAAGAATGAAGAGGATTTAGTAACTGATTGGATACAAGAGCCCCCACCCCAAAAGGAAACTCAAAGATGAATCAGATTTGAATGTTGGCAATTGGGAAAAAGGCAGAAAGAGGAAAGTTAGGAATGAGAACTTTTTGGTTGGTAGATAGGATAAGCTAAAGCTAGGCATTTTAAATTTGTGGAAATGGGTATTGATGTGGAAAGTCCCATAGGCAATTAGAGCCTGAGAATTAAAGCTTGGCATCTAGGCCAATTGGGATTCATCTATATCTTTCAGATGTTCAACACTGTTCAACACATGAGTGCCTTCACCATGCTGTGCACTATAGAAGGTACTCACAATTAGAAATCCAGGAAAACATTAGAAGAAAGAGATAAGTGATGTAAGAGAGGGACAGATAAACTGCTATAGTAGGATTTCAGAGGAGAATGATTTCCTGACAGGGAGGGTGACATTTCAGTTGGGTCATGCAGATACGATTTTACTTGAGTGTTTAAATTGTTTATCGAAGGTGGCCAAGTTTAGAGGCTGAATAGTGAGCCACTCATTATTCTTAAAATGAGGAAGAAGAGTTTCTAAACAGGAAACTATCAGGATATGTTGTTGAACTGAATCCCTTCCTACTTTTCCTGTCAGCATTTTATTTGGTTGAGACAAGAGTAAGCCATTATTCTTTACTTCCTCTTCCAATGACAGACATCAATGACTGATATGGTGTGGTACTCTACCATGAAATCCGGATTAAACTGTTCGTTCTTACAGAGGTTCTAGGTAGACATAATGGAGTGATTTCAATGAGTACACAAAGAAAAAAACATTTGCTATCCCTGGTCTGGGCCCTTTTGACCTTCTATTAGGACTCTTGAAAATGAATCTTAAGTAGATTTGTGGTCTCCTCTTCTCTTCTCATCTGTCAGTGTGCACTACTACCAACTTACTCATCTTAAAATTTAGTCTATATTTTGCCATAGCCTCTCACCCCAAAATTTTTGATTATGCTGAACAATAACAACAAAATACAAAGGAGCAAACAAAAGCAACTTCCAGCCTGTACTTAAGTCTCTTCACAATTTACCCTCAGTTGACCTTACAGGCTAATGTTCCAGGCCAACTGGAGCCCTTGAAATTACTTGAGCACATCTTGAGTTTGCTTACCTCCTCACTGTTGCCTATGTTCTTCTCTCCTCTATAATTCTCTTCTTTTTCATCTGCTAAAAATTCCACCTGGGAGTCAAGGTAAAGTGCAAATAATATGAAGCTTTCCTTGATTATTCAAAGTAGAAGTGATCTCTCCAAATTAATAGAGCATCATCTTTATTGAATAGGACATCATCAGTAATAAATTGGACATATCCAAGATTTTGAGGAATTTGCAGTATAGTAATAAGAATGTGACATCTATACAGATAATTATGAGACAAAATGCAATGAGTATAAAGCAAACTTAAGCCAAGCTATGATTATAAAAGAGTTTGCAAAGTTAATAAGAGTAGCTGTCAATTAGATATGGGTAAGGAAAAGGCAAGATGAGAGAGAGGCAAAGATGACTAAAAATCCAGGGCATGACTAACCAGGAAATGTATACGACAGATAATCTTTTGTTTTGAGAAGGATGGATTTGCTCTTGGTGGTCTTCAGTTTGACAGACTAGTTGAATATTTAGGAGGATATATGAGAAATAGTATAAAATAGAACTTAAATACATGGATTTTGGAGTTGGACATCCTGGGTTCAGTGAATGACTTGGTTTCTTTGGGTAAGTATGTTAGTTTCCTCATCTCTTATATCTAATAAGGATAAAATATTCACCTTCTTTTATGAAGTTTGTAAAGATAAAAGAAAATAATCTATATAAAACCCTAAGACTTCCCAATATAAAAAAAGGTGGCTATTACAAAGGAATCATATCTTATGATAAAGTTACATTCTAAAGTCAATAGAGGCCAGGCACAGTAGCTCACACCTGTAATCACAGCACTTTGGGAGGCCGAGGCAGGCACATCACCTGAGGTCAGGAGGTCGAGACCAGCCTGGCCAACATGGTGAGACCGCATCTCTACTAAAAATACAAAAATTAGGCCAGGTGTGATGGTGCATGCCTGTCATTCCAGCTACTCGGGAGGCTGAGGCAGGAGAATTTATTGAAACTGGGAAGTAGAGGTTGCAGTGAGTGGAGATCGTACCACTGCACTCCAGCCTGGCCAACAGAACAAGACTCTGTCTTAAAATAAAATAAAATAAAGTAGTCAATAGAGAGTGAAATTGGATCTCCTACATGCAAATCATCCAGAAAGTAGAGTACATTCACAAACTGTTTCTTAGTAAGTCTAAACCAGCCAATATTTCCAATAGCATTTGGATAGGTAATTGTGCTTTGATGCACCTGATAAAATAGATGGCTTCCTTTAAGCATTGCATTGTATGAAAACTCTGTACTTCAAGTATTTGAATTACACAATGTACAGAAGTACTCCCACTATTAAGAGGTTAGAGGGAACTGAGATCAAGCTATAGGAATGATAGATTCACAATTTTATCCCACACTTGGTGTAAGGAATTAGATCATATTTTCTTATTTATTTTGTCCTTTCCTTGTTCCTTTCATCTTTTCTTCCCTCCTTTTTCCTTTTCCCTCCTCCTGTCATCTTTGTACTGTTAAATTTTTGTCAGATAAATGAGAATGTAGCCATGAGTTCAAGTGACTTTCCTTGTAAGTTACTCAGCAGATATGGAAAATATAGATATGAAGCTTGGAGGAGAAATCACAACTGCAGATCTAGATTTGGGATTAAATCATGGGTGTGAAATACAATTGCCAAAGGGGAGAAATTGGAAAGAAAAGATCCCAAATCAAACTGAGGAAAACGTCTATGTTTCCAGGAAGTATAGTCATCTGAGGAAACAGAAGGTATTATCAAACAAGTAAACAGTACAACTATGGATAACAAAGGAGGAACTTCAGAAGCCTGGGGTAGTTAACTAATTGAAAAGTCTGAGGACACCCCATTCAGTGAGGTCGTCATTGACAAAGTAGTTGCATTAGCATGATAGCAGCAATCACTGGACTGTAGTGGCTAAGGAGAGAGAATAAGAATGTGGACAGGACAGAAAAATGCTGAAATCAATATTGTCTCAAAAAATGAGTTGTACTTTTGGAATATACAATACACTTAATTCTGTAACAGGTCATTTGTACACACACACACACACGTACCCCCCTCTGCACACATATATTAAATCAAAGTATATTCAAATATAGCTCATAAAACTGTGTAGCCTATTGTGTTGGCATGGACTGGTGCAGCAAGGGCAGTTGTCTACAGCTGGCTTCTGTTCAGATTAGTTGGTGCCAGCGACTTACTCAGTGTTAAATACCTTAAGTATCGTCTCTGCATAAGTATAGTTTTGTGCTATGCTTTGTGGTCATTTCCCTGCAAATTTAAAAGAGGGAAGACTGTCAGGTGCTGGGTAAACATTTAGTTGGATGGATGCCGAATAAGTCAGGAGAGAGTAGAGTCATATAAACCAAATGGGAGAAAACGTTATGGAAAAAAGTGATCAAAGATATTAGGTGCTACTGAAATGGGCAATAGTAAAGGCAGAATAGAAAGACTTTGAATTAGACTCCCATTGAAAGAATGAACTCAAACTAACATAGTGATTTTTTTTTTTAATATTAGCTCACTTTGTGAATCTGACACAAGTGCTTTAGAGGTTAGGAACAAAAAGTATTTCCTCTTACACTTCCTCTGGCTCAGATAGTGGCTATCTGTATTAAGCCTGCATACTTAAACAAGTAAACCACTGTGTCGAAGTCAAATGAGAATCATGAAAATACAGTAATCTGATTAAACAAACTTTGAAACTTTCTTATTATGTGAAAAGTTAACTGAACTTTAGCAATATCATAAGAATACCAGAAAATTATTCTTTATAATAAAAAATAAAGAATGTGATAGAAACCCATGTTTCTAAATTATTGAACTAACTTTCATATTGTAAAAAAAATTAAAAATAAAACAGTCGAGAAATAACTGAAAAGATGCACAAATATAACAATAGTCAGCATAATAAAATATAAATGGCATAAAACACTATTTTACACCCATGGTTTGGCAAAGATGTGGGGAAACGGGAATTATCTTTCACTGCCTATTGAACTGTAAATTGGTATGAAGACTTTGAGGAGTGCTGGGTTTAATATCTAATAAAGTTAAAATTTAATGTACTCGGTGGCGCGTAGTGGCTCATGCCTGGAATCCCAGCACTTTGGGAGGCCAAGACAGGTGGATCACCTGAGATCAGGAGTTTAAGACTAGCCTGGCCAACATGGTGAAACTCCATCTCTACTAAAAATATTAAAAAATTAGCTAGATGTGGTGGTGGGTGCCTGTAATCCCAGCTACTTGGGAGGCTGAGGCTGGAGAATTGCTTGAACCTAGGAGGTGGAGGTTGCAGTGAGCTGAGATCACGCCATTGCACTCCAGCCTGGGTGACAGAGTGACAATGTCAAAAAAAAAAAAAAATTGAATGTGCTCTATGGCCCAGCAATTTTATTAATATATCCTAGAAACTCATGCTCTTGAACACAGGAGACATATACCAAGTTATTTATTATAGCATTATTTATAATAAAAATTTTATCAACATGTAATGAAAATTTTAATTGTGCTGCATTTAAATGAGGAACTATCAAACCACAGCTAAGAACAAGTCACTTAACAAGACCTAGATATATCACTATAGATTACAAACATTAATACCGAATAAAAAAATTTGTAGAATACCACTTATAATATTAACATAAGTTTAAAAACTCATCAATAGTACATATTGTATAGTGATATACAGTAAAAGTTTGAAAAAACAGACTGGGATTCACCCTGATATAAGGATGTTTAGTTCTGAACAGAGGAGCACTGGGGACTTAACTTCATCTGCAATATTTAATTTCATTAAAAAATTTATATCTGAAATAAACATAAAAATGGATAAATTTTGACTACTGTGTTCTATGTTAGTTATGGTATACTTTGTGCTTTTCTTTTTATTTTAAAAACTAAATTTAGCTGTATCAAATTAAGATTTAAGGAGGTAAATATCATCGGCAAAAAGACAACTTCTAAGCAATAAAAATATTTCTGTTCATGAAAAGTACCACCTTGTGAAAAAGAAAGTGTTGTGCTTTTCTTTTTCAGGAAGGTAAACCGGAAGCTCTTTGGGTTGAAGAAAGATTTACAGCTCACATTGCCCGGGTCCGTGATGTAGAGCTTCTCACTGGGCTTGACTTCTATCAGGATAAAGCGCAGCCTGTCTCTGAAATTTTGCAACTAAAGACATATTTACCAACATTTGAAACCACTATTTAACTTAATAATGTCTACTTAATGTATAATTTACTGTATAAAGTAATTTTGGAAAAATGTAAATGATTTTTTCTGGAGAATTATAAAATAAAGTTTTCTATTTTTCCTTAAGTCCCCTAAAAACCATAATTTTTATCATTCCCTTTTCTCTTTTTCATTTCTATGAATATGTATTATATTAAAGTTATATTTTTCACACAGAGATGATGCTATCTTACACCTTCCCTTTTTTGTTGGATTTTTAAACTCTAATCTCATGACAGATTATACCTTCCTTATTACGTGTTTTATCTCAGAATCTTTGAACATATTTTTCTGCCCAGAATTATCTAAACAAAAGGGAGAACAAAAGAAGTATGTCTCACTTGGGAACTGAATCAGCTCTAAATCAGTTTTGTTGTAAAACTTTTTGTATTTGATTGGCAATACTGATTAAAATTTAAAATGCACAGAACTTTTACGCTGTAATTTCACCTGTAAAAACTGTCCCAACAGATGTGCTTGACACAAATGCATGAAAATGACATCTTTTATGATAGCAAAACACAGAAAACAACCTAAAAGACTGGTTAAGCAAATTATGAAATTTGTTTAAACAAATATTGTTCCACCTCTATAAAGACAGAAGTAGATCTATATATATCTTGAATGTATCACTATTGTTAAGTGAGAAAGCAAGTGGTAGAACAATGTATGTAGTCTACTGTCATTTTTCAGGGGTCAGCAAACTTTTCTGTAAGGGACTAGATGGTAAATTTTTTAGACCATACAATCTCTGTTACAACTAGTTACTCTGCTGTGGCATCAAGAAAGCAGCCATAGATAATACAAAAAAGAAATAAGAGTTGTTGTTCTATTAGTCTGCTTTCACACGGCTATAAAGAAATACCTGAGACTGGGTAGTTTATAAAGAACAGAGGTTTAATTGATTCACTGTTTCGCATGGCTGGGGAAGCCTCAGGAAACTTACAATCACGGCAGAAGGAGAAGGGGAAGCAAGCACTTTCTTCACAAGGCGAAAGGACGAAAGGACGGAGTGAGTGTAAGCAGATAAAATGCCAGACACTTATAAAACAATCAGATCTCATGAGAACTCACTCACTATTATGAGAACAGCATGGGGAAAACTGCCCCCACGATCCAAACACTTCCATCCCTCAGCACATGGGGATTACAATTCGAGATGAGATTTGGGTGGGGACACAGATCCAGACCATATCACTTATGTTCCAATAAAACTTTATTTACAAAAACAAGTAGAGGGCCAGATTGGGTCCCTGGGCTGTAGTTTGTCAGCCCCCAATTTATATAATAAAATCTGGGCTGGGGAAAGCAGGAATTAATAGAAAAAAGAGAAAAAAAGGTAACATTTTTATGTTTTGCTCTTTGTACTGCCTGAAGTTTTTTTTGTTTTGTTTTTGTTTTTTTAAACTCTCTATATGTATTTCTTGAATTTTCAAAATAGAGTTATGAACCAAAGAGATCCCAGCAATTATTTCAGGGGCAATACTATTGGTCAATTTTGGGGTTGCTAGACTGGCAATTTTCCAGATTCTTCTCTGATATAAAGATAAGTTCATCCAGGGACACAGGCTTTGTAGCTAATGAAAAATCTTGTGACCTGCGCTTCAAGGAATACAAATTCTATTTCTATTAGAATTTCAATTGAATTATGGTTATTAATTACAACCAATTGACATGTTAGTTTATTCCCACTGAATTTTTTTTAACATAGTTTCTTCACATGTAGAATTTAGGTCAAAGATGTATGCAGTGCAAAGTGTGCAATACAGAGAGGCTGCAAGTTAAGACACAAATAGGAAATTATTTCCGGATACACAGCAACAACGTTAATACTCTTCATATAGAGACAATTTTTCCAATCAATGTTCTCCTGCCCCACCATGGCCGGGAAACTAAATAAGATCACCTGGAATTTAGAACTCACAATAGGAAGACAGATGGTGGATGTTTACAACCCTGAACGCAGTTTAATAACCCTGGATTTCCTCATTACTTCTGAGTTGGCCTGAAAGTGGCTAAATTGTTGTTATAAAAATAAAAAGAGAAAAATTAAAACTACATTTTTTTTTTTGAGATGGAGTCTCGTTCTGTCACCAGGCTGGAGTGTAGTGGTGTGATCTCAGCTCACTGCAACCTCCGCCTCCCGGGTTCAAGTGATTCTCCTGCCTCAGCCTCCCAAGTAGCTGGGACTACAGGTCCCCACCACCACGTCCAGCTAATAAAATTATATTTTTTACACAGAGATTTGTGCAATATTATATCTTCCTTTTGCATATTCATTATTCCATTAAAAAGAAATATGTATATGTAAAGCCATTTTGAATGAATGAATACCAGTGATTTAATGGATCATGAAATTATAGAGGATTTGGTACATCTACTTAATAACTTTGAGTATGTAGCCTATATTTACAATGAACTTGTTTTATTTTTAAAAATCTGAAAAAGTAAGCAATAAAGTTAGTTACACTTCAAAATATTTAGAAAGGATTTTATATGTACACAAAGTTTGCAAGAATAGTATAGGCCGGGCACTGTGGCTCACACCTGTAATCCTAGCACTTTTGGGAGGCTGAAGTGGGCAAATTACTTGAGATCAGGAGTTCAAGACCAGCCTGGGAAACACGGTAAGACCCTGTTTCTATTTTAAAAAGAATAGTATGAAGAAAAGAACTCCTTATAACCCTTACCCAGCTACCTCAATTAACATTCTCAGTATGTACATTTATATATAGTTTTATTTCTACCCCTGTACTTCTGGGAGTACATTGTAGTGATCATGCCCATTAACGCTGAATACTTCAGTGTGCAAAGATCAAGGACATTAACTCACAGTAAGTTTAATGTCGGTATGATGCTACAAATAATCTAATTTATGAACCTATCAATTTTTTTCATGTTTTCAACTATTTTTTAATGATATTTTCTTTTTTGGTCTAGGATCTGGAAGAGAATCATTCATTGTATTACTTTTTTCTCTTTGGTCTCTTGTAATGTTCAACAGTTCCTCAGCGTTTAACAAATAATGTTGATACTTTTGAGGAGTCCAGGTCATTTATTTTGTAGACCGTCCCTCAATTGGGTTTGTCTGGCATTTCCAGATGACTGGATTAACACAGTGCATTTTTGGCAGGGACACTACATTAGTGACATTTGTCCTCAGCGCTTCATATTTGGAAGCACATGATGTTCATTTGTGCCATCACTAATCCATGCCAGATTTGATCACTTGGTGACGTTAGTGTTCATAAGGTTCTCTTCTGCAAAGACAATATTTTTCCATTAGTAATTTATAAGTTATTTGTAGAAGGATATTGACACCGTACACATATCCTGATTCTCATTAAATTTTTACCCAACAGCTTCAGTAGCTGTTAACAATCTTTCCCTGATTCAGTTTTTACGATGGCAGTTGCGAAGGGAGTGATTCTTAAAAACTCCATTATTTTACGTTTATTAGCATTCTACTATAAGCAAAAGTGTTCTCTTCTTATTTATTTATTATTGTTTGTACAGACTTATCTTTTTTTTATTCCAACGGATTAGAATACATTAAGATCATTATTTACGTCAGTACTCAGATTGTCCCAGATTTGGCCAACAGGAGCTTCTTTAAGTGGGGTCCTGGGTCCTTTGGACATACCCCATTATTTTTTGAGGACTATTTTCTACTACAAAAAAAATCAGGATTATTTTGTACTTTCCCTGCACTAATTCTGGAATCAGTTTTTTCTCCAAAAAGCCCTGGTTCCATTTAGTGGGCACTGGTGCCCTAATTGCTTCTGGGGTATCATAACACCTAAGCACCTTCAGTCAACAAATGTGGAATCTATATCTACGTCCCTTTGCCTATATTTATCTTTGTATTCATAATACTGTAAACTTGAAGTCCTAAGTCTTCCACTGATAGAACAGACCCTCTTGTGGCCAAGAGGACCCCAGATAAACCTTAAAACTGAGTTCCTGGCCACCGCCAGGAGAGAGGGGAGGTCAGACATGCCTCATTCTACCCACTCTTTCGTGGTTTAGACACAATTGACCAGCATTAATGTTGAAATAAGTATCATAAGACAGAACAGACTCTGTGGCAATAAGATACCAAATTATATACAAAAACAAAGGCCATGCAAGGCAAGGATGAAGTCATGCACCCTACACTTAAAGAATAAACTGTTTTATTTATTTATTTATTTATTTTGAGATGAAGTCTCTCTCTGTCACCTAGACTGGAGTGCAATGGCGCGATCTTGGCTCACGGCAACCTCTGAATCCCGGGTTCAAGCAATTCTCCTGCCTCAGCCTCCTGAATAGCTGGGATTGCAGGCACATGACACTACACCTGGCTAATTTTTGTATTTTTAGTAGAGACAGGGTTTCATCATGTTAGGCCAGGCCAGTCTCCAGCTCCTGACCTTGTGATCCGCCTGCCTTGGCCTCCCAAAGTGCTGGGATTACAGTCATGAGCCACTGCACCCGGCCTAGAATAAACTGTTCTAACTGCCGCAAGGGTTTTTTTGGTTTGTTTGTTTTGTTTTTTCTCTCAAGCACTGGCTTTGAGATAAGCAGTATTAAAACAATTACAACTCATCTTGCTAACAGACGCTGACTAAATGAACCGCTGTTCCACCAGCTATAACTACAGCTTTGATTGGACAAGGGCCTGATTTCAGTGACTTTCTTCTGATAGGGAGACCACCGACCACGGACTGGTTCTGACTGGTTTACAGAGGTTGCTCACTTGTGTTACTTTGTAACCTGAAAAGATCTTTTGATATATAGGGTCCAGCTGTAACACATTTAACAAGAACGGGTGCATTCAAGGTGTTACGGCCATAGACATAACTGGAATACTTTTGAATGTTAAGTTTCCACCCACAAGTGAACATGGGTCATATGTTACATGCAGATTTGCTCCGTATGCATGTGTCAGGACCACCTTCATGAATATTTATAGCTTCTCCCATAACCTGTTAATATGTATTTTTAGCCAGCCTCTTCAGCATAAAACTGCTATTCCAATCTTTCCTGCTTTGAAGTGCTTGTCTGGTCTTAGCTGGAGGAATACTTTCCATCCTGAGGGGTGACCATTTTGCAGGCTGTAACCATTTACAAAAAATAAAGTCTCCTCCTTTTCCAAAGTCACAGATTTGTGATTTTTTTTAAGTTAACACCACATGAATAAAAACCATGAATTCAATACTGCATGGTTTTCATAACAACTTTCTATTTTATAATTGTATCTTCCTTCTCCAATAGTGAGAAATTTGGTTCCCAAAATTGTCAATGTATTTATCCACATGCTCCAGTACATGGAGAGTAAGAATTGCAGACGAACACCACTTAAAGAAGGAACTCTACCAAGTAGAATTCAAGAAGTGTTTCTAGGCTAAGAACTTAGTTAGAATATTGTTCCAGAATTATTTGGGCTTG